CAGAGGAAGCGAAAACGGAGTTTCTTTAGGATTCACTTAAAATCCTAGTGCCAAGAATGCCCTTTGAGGTAATCGAGTCCTTCTTAGCTGATAGATGAGGAAAGTGAGGTGCAGACTGGAGGCGCCCAGGAGCTGCCCCTGAGCCCAGGGTGATTCTGGCCGGGTGGACAGCAAGCCCGTCCTCAGCCCCGGCCAGCTTGCCTACCCTGGCCTCAGGTCCTCGAGGGCATTTGGAAGCTCGCACAGCCCTGTCTGCACCAAGTCGAGGGTGAGCCTTCATCTCTCCAACTCATTTCCTACTTAGGAGCTCAGAGAGGTGACGACTTGCCCACAAGTGCACAGTAAGGCTCAGAGGTGAGCTTCATACCCTGGGGGCCAGGCTGCAGTCCTGAATGGACAGAGCTAACCTGGGCTCCTAACCTGTGGGTGCCAGCTTCTGCCCGCTTCATCCCACGGCCTCTCCCAGCACTTGTGGTGTGACCACGCTGGTGAGGACGCTGACGACCTGCCTGGGGAGGGAGCGGGAAGGAAGTCCAGAGCTAGGCCCCTGCAGGCCCTGTCCACAGGGAGATTACAGTCCAGTCAGGGGCCGGGAGAGGATGACCATAAAACACTGGCAGCATCTAGAGCTGAAGAGCTGTCAGGGAAGACTGCCTAGGGCACTGTCCAGAATTGGGATGGGGGTCTCAGGGGCAGTGGGTGTTCCCTCTAGGCAGGCAGGACCAGCAGATTCTTGTTCACATGTGGGTGAACTGATCGGCTACTGAGCTGGTTTCTGACCCGGAGAGGCTGTGATCTGTGGTTCCATCCAACCCTCTCATTCTGCAGATGTGGAAACTGAGGCCCAGAGTCTTAGAGGGGGTATCCTAGATGACAGCTCTGGACAGGAAGGGGCCTCCAGAGCCGCTCGGTGCGGCCTCCTTAGTTTTAACAGATGACGAAACAGCCGCCCTGAGAGGGAAAGGGATGCCTGGCTCAGGGTCATACGGGGGGCAGGTCCTCTGACTTCTCCGGGCCTCTCTCCCTGCCCATGTGACTCCCAGATCCCTCTGTGTCAGGCCAGGCCTTGCTCTGCCCTCTTCATCCCCCAGCAGCTTGGGATGCTGACCAGGGCCGTGCCTATGGCAGACCTGGAGGAGCCGGGTCCAGGGAGGGGCCGCGCTCAGCGGATGTCCCCCAGGACTGTAGCTGAGCGGCTAACGAGCAGCCGTTTCCCATCTCTGAGAATCCCAGGGCTCCTGGGGCGTGGGAGGGAGCTGCAGGAGACCTGGAGGCTGGCAGGGAGGCCTTCTCCGCCGCGCTTAGGGACCTTATACCTTAACCTGCTGCTCGATGGGGGGGGGGCAAAGAGCTGTCAGGCCTTGCCAGCTGGATGGGAGAGCTAAGGAGGCTGCAGGTGTCATCAGGAGGGGCCCCCAAGATCGTCATTCAGCCGAGCCCCTCATTCCACAAAGCAGGAAACTGAGTCCCAAGAGGCTGAGGGACTGGCCAATAGCCATGCAGTAACTAGGAGGCAGAATCTTGAGTGTTGGCTGGTCCATCCTGTGTAATTGTTCTTTGAGCTAGAAGAAGACTGAAGAAAGTTTTGGTTAGCGGACTTCCCCTCGGTAAGAGTCCATAGACTAGGGCAGCTAGGTGGCGCAGTGGATAGAGTCAGGAGGACCTGAGTTCAAATCTGGCCTCAGACCAAACACTTGACATTTACTAGCTGTGTGACCCTGGGCAAGTCACTTAACCCCAGTTGCCTTAAAAAAAAAAGTCCATAGACTCATGGGGTCCTACATCTGCAGCTGGGGGGAACCTGGGAGGCTCCCAAGCCAACCCCACGCCTTTTACGGATGAGGAAACTGCGAGGTCCCCAGGGTCACCTGACTGAGCCAGGATTTGAACCTAGAATGTCCACTTAATATTGACCTGTGAGGTTTGGCCCTCTAGCTTCCTGTAAGGCCGAGCTGGGCCCACAGCTCCCAGGGGGGCCCCACGGTCCCCAAACAGCATCTTTCTAGCCCTGCCTTGCTGGGGAAGCACCAGGGGGGCGTGGGTCAGGGTTAGGGAGCTAGAAGAGGCCGAGTAGCTTCAGACTGAGATGGAGGGACCTCAGGAGGCATGCTGTGCAGGAGAGGAGGCCGGGAGGCTGGGGAACTTCCTCTGCTCCAGTCACCGCCTCCTCTAAGGCTCCAAGAAGCAGCAGGGACTGTCCCAGGGTCCTCTCTTCCTCTCACCACCTTGTGCTCTTGGGTGTCGGGCACCAAAGCAGATTCTGCCCAGACCTGAGCTGGTTCAAGCCAACCCTGGGGCCCTCAGGACAGCGGTGGCTGCCGATCAGCCCCTCCTAACAGGGACAAGAGGCACGAGCCGGGCGGGGGTGTCCCCTGGCTTAGCAGGAGGTGTGCAGGCCCTGGCAGTGCCAGGAGGCCTTCATTTATACCCCCTATGTGATCCCACAGGTTGCAATTCCCCCAGCTGGCCCTGAGGCGAAGGTTGGGCCAGCTCAGCTGCATGTCTAGGCCTGCTCTGAAGCTCCGCTCCTGGCCTCTCACAATCCTCTATTACCTTCTGCCTTTCGGTGCCCTTAAGCCTCTGAGCAGGGTAGGATGGAGGCCCGTGAGCAGGGTAAGTGCGTGCGTGGGTGCACACGTGGCGGCTGGGGCACTTTGATTCTGTCTGGAGAGCTGGCCCAAGACACAAAGCTCCAGGGAGTGTAGGTGGGACAGGGGAGAGAGAGAGAGAGAGAGAGAGAGAGAATGTGTGTGTGTGAGACTATGTGTGTCTGTGCTCCAGGGAGTAGGTGGGGACAGAGGTGTGTCTGTGTGTGTCCATCTAGCCATCTCTCCTTGTGCGCGCATGTGGATCTGTGTTCTCCTGTCCCCAGCACTTTGGAGGGGACGTCTTCAAATTCCACGTGTGTAAGCTTAGCTGGGGCCCCCACTGCCGTTGAGAGCCGCAGTCCACAGAAGTGGCCCGGCCGGCCCCGAGGAGTAGCATGTAGGGGCCCGAGGGACAAATCAGAAGGTGTGGCTTGGCCCCAGAGGAGCTCCAGGGCTTCCTCCAAGGTCCTGACGCCCTTGCGGTGCGGCAGCAGCCCAGCCTCTCTCCCCACACCCCATCTCTGCAGGCCTCCTGAGAGTCAGATCCTAGAGGGAAGCCCAGAAATAGGATTTCCTGCCCTGGAGAGAAGCTTCCAGCAGGCGATCAGGGATGGAGAGGGGGGGAGGCTGAGAGGAGCCCCGGGGGTGCTGGCCTCCCAGGGCCTGCACTGGTGCACAGGTCAGCGGCTTTGGTGTCTCCTTGAGGTGACTTGCCCAGCACCCCCGTAGCTGGGTCCCCCGTGATAAGTCTTGTGTTCCTCATCCTCGGCAAGGCCTGAACGCCACATTCACTCGTCAAGCTTCTCTCCACCAGTCACTTAGGACCTGACTCCCACAAACTGGATCCCCACAGGTCATGGCACTTCCCTTTGTGGTCGCCCCCCCCAAAACAGCTGGAGGGGCCCCCCAGGGACAGGATGCCAGGCCACACAGCCTGGAGCCGGCCCATGGCCTCCCCCCCGGATGTCAGGGCTCTTTGGCTAGCTGGGGAAGGCTGGAGAACTCCAGACAAAACACTCTGACGCTGCCGTCTGACGTCTTCATTCTTCCTGGCTGCTCCTGGGCATGCTACCCTTGGCAGATACACAAATCCAGCAGATGAGGCTTCTAGGGACCAGCTGGTGAACTCCAGACCTAGGTGCTGGGGGACGTAGGGTCTACTCAGAGCACAGTCCTTCCCCTCTTTGAGGTGGAAAGGTCCAGAGGGTGGCCACATCATTCCCTCGCCTGGGACGTGACCAGGCACAGGCCAGGAGGGAAAAAGCCACTTGGGACTGGGGCAGACAGGGCAGAGGCTTCTGGGTAGAGGCAGCACAAGTGGATAGGGAAGGCCGTGTACTGCCCATGCGCTCCCAGCATGCAGCAAGGCCGGGGGGGAGAGGACCCCGCTCGGAGGGCCCCCCGCAGGTCATTTTCTGTTAGAATCCAAGAGGTCTGTGAGGAAAAGTGGCCTGCCAGCAGAGCCATCCTGGGGGACCATCGCTTATTCGGGGCCTCTGCAGTGTTCAAAGTTACAGTCAGATTGCTTTGGAGGCCTGTGGGATCTCATAGACTGACAGGGAGGAAGGAGGATGCAGAATGCAGAGCGGCCCAGCCTGAGGGAGGGGCGGCAGGTGGGCCGGAGGGCCAGGGGGGTCCTCAAAGCCTCTCTCGCCAAAATGATGAGGTTGGCTTCTCTCCTCTGGGCCAGACCTTGGGCGTTCTCCTGCTCCCCTCCAGGGGCGAGGGAGAGGCCACCCAACCCTGCCATTTTACAGATGAGAAAACTGAGGTCCAAAGAAAGGTTGCCACAGGCCAGATTCCAGCCCAAGTCTTGGTCCTTGGACTCAAACCCCCCTGCTCTTTCTCCTGTAACTTCAGTCCTCACATCATGGGGCCTCCCCTAACCCAGGAGGACACTGAGGCCTGGCCCAGGTTACTGAATTCCAGGCCTTAGTACCCTTGCCCCAGGGCTCTTTCCAATCAGCCCTGGTTCTTCCAATGAGGAGCCCCTGTGGGGTCCCTAAGCGACCACATCATCTCTCCTTTCTGCCCATGAAAGTTAAGGGGGATGGCTCTATCTCTGAGTCCGCCTAGGGAAGGGAGGGTAGCTGTTTACCTTATGAAATGCAGATCTCTAGAAACACCCGAGGGTGCCCAGAAGTGACCCAGCTGGCCAATCCCACCAGCTCTTGTGCCCTCCAGGCAGATGTTATCCACATCACAAAACATAGGGAGGTAGGGAGGGGGCTCCAGACCAGGGGATGCAAGGCTGCACCCGTCCCCCCCACCTCCGCAGCCAGAGCAAGGCCTGCAGACACATCAGACTGAGAAGTCCAGGGACATGCCGCCCGGTGAAAGGCAGACAGGATGGGGCGAGTGGGGCCTGGGACATGGCGGTGCCCGGCAGCTGACCTCCCTCTGTGACCGCAGGTCACCCTGTACAAGTCCGTGCCCACGCGGCTGCTGTCCCGGGCGTGGGGGCGGCTGAACCAGGTGGAGCTGCCCACCTGGCTTCGGAAGCCCGTGTACAGCCTTTACATCTGGACGTTTGGAGTGAACATGAAGGAGGCTGCCGTGGAGGACCTTGACCACTACAGGAACCTGAGCGAGTTCTTCAGCCGCAAGCTGAAGCCGCAGGCCCGGCCTGTGTGCGGCCTGCATAGTGTGGTGAGGCCCGGGGGCGGCCGGGGCAGTCTGCATGCTGGGCACAGGGGGGGTTGTTGCATGGAACTGGGCCCTAGAACTCAAGTCTATACCCATTTTGCAGAGGAAGAAATTGAGGCCCAGAGAGGACAGGTGACTCAACATGGGCCACACAGAAAGCCACTGTTTGAACCTGGGGCTCTTGCCACTGCCCTTTGCTGTCCCCTCAGCCTTCTTGGGCCCCCCGCTGAGAATTTAACCAGATAGGCCCCTGGAAGACCACGGGACTGCCGTGCTTGGGAGTGACTCTCTTCCCTGTTCAGAAGCGGGTGGGTGCAGAATGGGGCTTATGGTCAGGGAGCCGTTCTTCCCGTGTCATCCAGATCAGCCCGTCGGATGGGAAGATCCTCAACTTTGGCCAGGTGCAGAATTGCGAGGTGGAGCAGGTGAAGGGGGTCACCTACTCCCTGGAGTCCTTCCTGGGCCCGCGCGACACCCCTGACGACCTGCCCCTCAGCGGTGGCAGCGGCAATGGTGGCGGTCAGGGTGAGTCAGCCAGCAGCAGCAGCATCCTCTGGGGCAGCCTTCCCCCGACGCAAGGCGAGGAGAACGTGGCACTCTGCCCTGGGGCTCATCTGTCCCTGTTCCTGCTGCTCAGGCCTGGATTCCGGATGACCCAAGTTCAGATCCATTCTCAAATACTTAATAGCTGGGGGGGGTGGGGGTGGGGGTGGGGGGGCCTGGCAAGTTCCTTCACCTCTGTCTGCCTCAGTTTCCTCAACTATAAAATGGGTGTATTAATAGCACCTATTCCCGGGATTGCTGGATCGATTGAGATATTTTTAAAGCACTTAGCATGGTGCCTGGCCCACAGTAGGCACTCTGTAAGTGCTAGCTGCCATCATCATCATCATCATTACAAGACAGTACAGACTGTGTTGCCCCGTTTTGTAGCTGAGGTGTGGAGCGCCAGCTAGGAGAAGGATCCTGCCCCGTGGCACCCAGTGGGGCCTCTTAGAGCAGCCGCCAGAGATGGGTTGGGAGGAGCGGCTCCCAGTGGGCCAGCCACTTAGGTCTGGGAGTCGGCTGGTAACGGGCCTTGGCTTTTTCTATGGAGATGAATGTTACTGTGTGCTATGAGAAGTGGGTAGTTAACAGGGAGAAGGGAGCCAGTCAGCATCAGATGCTGACTCTGGGCTGGGGAGGTCCCCTTGCCACTTCAGCATCCCATTCTGTACTGGGGGGAGGGGCACGCCCCTCTACCCACCCCCATCCTGGAGCTGTTTGGTCATTTCTCAGCCGTGTCTGGTTTTATGACCCCTCGTGGGGTTTTCTTGGCACAGATACTAGAGTGGTTTGGCATTTCCTTCTCCAGGCCATTTATAGATGAGGAAACAGGCAGAGTGAAGTGACTTGCCCAGGGTCACCCAGCTTGGAGGCGTCTGGGGCCAGATTTGAACTCAGGTTTTCCTGACTCCAGACCCTGTGCTCTGTGCACTATGGTGCCACCCAGAGTGAATGGAGGGGCATCAGGCGCCTTGAGGGGGAAAGCACTGGCTCAGCTCCCTGCTGGGGACTTGGGGCCCAGGTCTGCTTTTTGGGCAGTTTCTGCTGTAAGAGCGTCAGTCCAGACTGGCTGCCTGGGGTCTGAGCTGGCACCTGCCAGGGCGGGCAAACACTTGCAGAGGGGCCAGTGGCTCCGGGAGCCCCAAGGGAAGTTTAGACAGACGTGGGTGACGGATCCCACCAGCCAGTTGGGAAGGCGGGGCCGCGGCTGCTGTCCTTTGTACAGAGCGCAGCATCACCCAGCCAGAAGAGGTTGAGGCAGGCCTGGGCCCAGACCAAGCTGGGCCGCACAAAGCTTCCTCGCCGCGTGCCCGCCACGGGGACCATCCAGGACTGGTGGTCTGATGCTCTGCCATTCCTCCCTTCAGCTTCTGCAGCCACAGCTCGCAGCTCCTTCCAGAGCCAGCTGGTCACCAAGGAGGGGAATGAGCTCTACCACTGTGTCATCTACCTGGCCCCTGGGGACTACCACTGCTTCCACTCCCCCACGGACTGGAGAGTGGCCCATAGGCGGCACTTTCCAGGTAGGGCTGGGGCTGGGGCTGGGGTGGCCATCAGGGTGGACTTGGCGTGCCCGTTGACCTCCATCCCCCAGAAAGGGGAGAGTTAGTGTTGGGCTGGAAAGTTGAGCCACAGTGGGCCTGGGCCTAAGACTGCCAGGGCAGCCGGCCTGTATCCTGAGCGCATCTTTGTGGGAGGTGACATCTGCCCCCTCCCCAGGAGCTCGAGGGAGCATTTAGTCCAGTGCCCCCCCCTTAGACCATCGCAGGCTGGACGCTTTGGCGCCAACCTTCCCTTCCTCCCCGATGCAGGCTCCCTGATGTCAGTGAATCCCGGCGTCGCCCGCTGGATTAAGGAGCTCTTCTGCCACAATGAGAGGGTGGTCCTAACCGGGGACTGGAAGCACGGCTTCTTCTCCCTCACAGCTGTGGGTGCCACCAACGTGGGCTCCATCCGCATCTACTTTGATCGGGTAAGTGAATCCACCGCGGAGCTTGTTCAGCGGCAAATAGATGTTATGAAGCGCCAGCTCGAAGCCAGAGCACAGACGCTGAGGAAAAGCTGCGTTTGCCTCCCAGGTCGGGCTAGTGGGGGAGGCTAGAGGGCAGCAAGGAGGAAGCTAGTGGGGCTGCATTCGACCTTTCCTGACACTCCCAGGCGGATGGCGCCTCACCACCAGCCTGACCTCCCATTCCTGTCTGACCTGCTCCTTGGCCTACACGGCATCTCCCCTCCTGGAGGATAGGGCCCATTTTGCAGCCCAGGTACCCGCTGATGTATTGAGAGCATAGTGTGTGTGAAGGGGAAAGATGGGTTGGTCCTGGGCTGAGATGAATTTTCAATGTGATTTGTGTTGTGCTTCAGCTGTAGTAGGAAACTGCCATGGCAAGACCCGGGTTTTAGCAAGTTTTGGTGAAGGCCAGATGGAGAGGGGAGGGCCCCTGCACTGGTCTAGGCACAGGGGGGTTGAAGCTGATCCAGTCTGCAGATGAGGGCCGGGATGGGGAGCGAGCACTGGATCAGGTCCAGAGCCCCAGATGTCTTCGCAGCCTCGAGCAGACACTAATGAGATGCGTGGGTACAAAAAGTCAACCTCACAAGTATAGGCTAGGGTCATGTAGTTAGGTAACAATTTGAAAAAGATTTGGGGGTTCCAGTGGACTGCAAGCTCACTAACACCAAACTGTTCATTCAAGAAAGCCGTGAACGTCCAAAGAAGGCATTAGACTTTTGCTAGTCTGCTCTGGTGCGGCCGCGTCTATGCCGGCTCAGATGTCTGTGGTGTTCGGAAAACTGAGGTCTGGTGGGAGCCTAAGCAGGATCTTTGGGAAGCGGGGAAAACAAACTGCCTACCAGTGAGAGCTGGGGGGATCCCCCTCACTGGAAGACTTCAGGATAAAAGTAATAGCCGACACCCTATACGGCACATTAGGATTTGGAAAGCACTTTACAGATACAATCTTATCTCATCCTGGGAGGTAGGTGCCATTTTACAGATGAGGAAATAGAGGCAAGCAGAGGTGAAGTCCCACAGTTATCAAGTGTCTGAGACCACACCTGACTGTGGGGCCCTGAGCCACCCACTCTGTGAAAGGCATTCCATTTGTGGAGGGTTTGGACTGGAGGCCCGCCATTTCCGACTGGGCTAGACCTGCAGCCAAACTACCCGGTGCGGGGGCAGTGATCGGAGGCTGGCTGCCTCCGGGGCAGGAGCTTTTCTTGCTGGGCTCCGGTTTCTGACCTCCACGCTTGCTGACCCCTTCTCTCCCTCCAGGACCTGCACACAAACAGCCCCCGCTACAGCAAGGGCTCCTACAACGATTTCAGCTTCATCACGCACAGCAACAAGGAGGGCATCCCCATGAGGAAGGGCGAGCACCTCGGAGAGTTCAACCTCGGCTCCACCATCGTCCTCATCTTTGAGGCTCCCAAGGACTTCAACTTTCACCTGAAGCCAGGGCAGAAGATTCGATTTGGGGAAGCCCTGGGCTCCCTCTAGAGCCAGTCTCCGCCACAAGGGTGATGCTGCCAAGGAAGCTCCTTCAGATCCGCGTGAGGGCGAAGGCTTCGGGACGGAAATGGGAAGCGGCCCCCGAGCCTAGCTGTGGGGAGCAGCAAGGTGCCTTGCTCTGCTTGGGCAGGCGTTGGGGGCACCAAGGACTCTGTCCCAGCGTCCCACTGTGGCCCCCAGCTCCACCAGTCAAGCCTTTGAGAAGGGAGGAGAGAGGGAACCTTGCCTTATCCCGTACCTTCTGCCCCAAGGTAGTGCGGGCAGGGAGAAGCTGGAGTTGATTTTTGGATTCTGCACCAATTTTATGAACTGGAAATACTCTGTCTATACTGCATCAGGTTCCATGGGTGATGATTTTCTTTTGAAGGTGGTAAACATTTTCATTCTCTTTCCGTTAGTGGGGCCATTGTGGGATACAGCTCAGTGTCTTAGCCTCCTCCCAATAAAGCCTCCCATGATTTCCTAGATCTTTTCAGGCCTTAATCCCTTTCAGTATCTAATCCACTGCCCTGCCCTATTCCCTTGCATCCTCTGGGTTCAAGGCAGGCCCTGGAGCCTGCTCTGGGCCCACACCCAGCCGCCCCCTCCCAGGGTGGCCAGGGCTCCAGGAAGGCTTCTTTTTGGTGCATGGGGTGAAGTGCATCCAGCATTGACTGTGGACCAAAATCTCAGCTTCCTGAGCCTACTCCAGACATTGGGCTGATTTCTGGTCTTTGTTTTGATTTTTAAATTTTACTTATTTACTATGGAGATGGTGGGGGGAAAGCCAAATCTTCCTTTGCACTTACTACTGGGAACTTCTCTCCTCTTTCTTGCCAACATGGGCTGTCTGCTGGGGCTTGTCCGGGAGGCTGCGCATGGCCTCCAGCGGGCAGAGGCCCTAGGACCAAGAACACTGGAGAGAGGCGCTGTGGCCGATGGGCCTTCTCGTGGCTCACTTGGTGGGGCCATTCCTGTACAGCCCAAGGCGGGAGCATCCCCTCCATCCCCATTCTAATCACCTCTGGTCCTTAGTCCAGACATGCAAGAAAGTTTCCTCAAAGCCTACGTGCATCATAGCGTGTGAGCCCTGCCCAGAGGCGGGCTCTGGGGAGCAGCTGTTTGCTACTTGAAAGGGGGCAGAAGAGGCCCCTCCCCTCCAGCGGGGAGCTGGCACAGTGTGTCCAGCACCACCCAGGCACTGCCCGGGAACCGCACCAGGCCCAGGGAAGTAGCTGCTTTTGATTTCTGTCAGCTGGCATTGAAAGAGGCAGGCAGATGGTTCTGCCCGAGCCAGCTCTTTGGGGTGCAGGGTCATGGCTATGGAAACACACAGGGAAAAGGGACTAGGCTTCCTGATGATGCTGGTGATGCTGTGAATTTCTCCTGCCAGGAGAAGCCATTGAATCTTCAACTGTATCAGTAGCACAGTATTTTTGTATGTCAGTGGAAGACTTCGGGAACAGTAATTCATTTAATTGCAAACATTTTCAAATAAAAAAATACATTGCAACTGCTTATTGCGTGCCTAGTATCTTACATGTTCTCCCCAAATCAAGCCACCGCAATAAATGGGTGTTTCCCCTCGGCCCCTGCCAGAGAGGGGAGGGAGGAGGGGAAAGGGAGAGGTGCGTGCTGTGGCAGGAGCTCCCAGGAGCACCTGGAGCTAGGAGAAGGCGGCCCTCAGGACCTGGATGCGGGCCATGTACCGCTGCACCCGCTGCCGCTCGGCTCGCAGCTCCTCCATCAGATGGGCAATCTGCGTCTCCGCCTACAAAAGGAAGGAGGTGGGCCGGGGCCCCGAGTCTCACAGCGGGCCCTCTGTGCCAGCGCTGGTGCCCAGAGTCAAACGCAGACCGTACCTGGTGAAGTTCCTGCCGAACCTGCCGTCCTGCTTCCTCCTCCTCTGGTCTGGGGTCCTCCGTGCTCAGTGCTAACCACTTCCTGAGGCTGCTCGCCTGCCTCTGCCAGGACCTGAAGAGAAGGGACAGGACACGGCGTTCGGAGAGATGCAGAGCCCTGGCAAGGGAACGGCCTTCCTCTCCAAGAAACCAGTGGCTAATTCTGCCCCCAGGAGCTTGGCCCCTGGGGGTTAGAGCTGGACCTTACAGAACATCTCACACAGGAAGCGATTAAGGTCAGAGGGCAACGATTTAAGGGAAGAACTCCGGTTTCCTGACACCACCCAGTGCTCACTTCCCCACCCTCTGCAGGGGACACGGGGGAAACGTCCCTAAAGGGAACTCAGCCACTGTGCTGGACACTGGAGACAGATAGAGGGGAAGCCCCCAATGCAGAAAACAGTGATTCAGAAATGTGATAAGGGCACTAGTGGGTACAAGGTGGACGGGAGAACGCCTTGTGAAGGAGGCGGCCTTTGGGTGAGCTTTAACAGAGAGCCGGTACTAGTACCCATGCTTCGCAAAGTATTCTCAGAAACTGGGAAGTGAAGCACCTACCAGAATCCTTTATGAGACAAATAAGAGTCCTGTTATCTAAACTGGGGAAAGATAAAACACAGAAAACTAGGGGCCAATATCATGAATGCACACCGACTCAAAAATTTTCAACAAAATGTTGCCCGATAGACTATAGTGACTTATCCAAAGAAATCATTTGTTATGACTAGATGGGATTTGTACCAGGGACGTGAGGATGGTTCAACATTAGGCCAGCGATCAACTTAATCATAATAAAAACCAAAACATCCAAAACCACATGATCATCTCAATAGATGCAGAAAAAGCCTTTGATAAAGTGCAACCCTCTTTTATGCTAAAAACCCTGCAAAGTACAGGTACAGAAGGACCTTTATTAATGTCATAAAAAGCATCATATGCAACAGGGACATCCCAGAACCTTTTCTAATAAATAGGAAAGTGAAGCAAGGATGCCCATTCTCCTTGCCACCATTTTATACAGATCTGGAAATGTTAACAGAAATAAGACAAGAGAAAGAAAGATAGGTAAAGGGGAGAGAAAAATACTCTTATTTGTAATGACGTGGTTCATGTGGAAAATCCTAGGGAATCATCAGGGACTAACAGACAACAACTTCAGTAAAGCTACAGGCTACAAAATAAATCCTCAAAATAGTAACAAACTCCAACAGGCAACAAGAAAGGGAAATCCCATTCCAAATACCTACAAAGTGCATAAAACATCTGGGGATCGGCCACCCAAAGCACACAAAAGACTTGGATGCAAAGTGTACAGAGTGCTCTTTAAAGACAAAAAGAATAATTTGAACAGCTGGAGGAATTTTCAGTGTTCATGGCTAGGCCATGCCAAAATAATAAAATTTACAATACTACCAAAATTAATTTTACTCTTAATGTTACACCAATCAAATTACCAAAAGGATACTTTACAGAATTTTATAAAATAATAATAAAAGTCATTTGGAAAAGCAAAAGATCTAGATATAAAGATAAAAGATGAAAAGAAACAGGGATGGATGAAGGGGGAATAGCCCCTCTAGACCTTAAACTACATTATAAAGCAGCAGTCATCAAACCATCTGGTATTGGTTAAAAAGTATCACTTATCATCATGTAACCATCTGATATTGGTTAGAAAATACAGCTAGAGGGGCAGCTAGGTGGCGCAGTGGATAGAGCACCGGCCCTGAAGTCAGGAAGATCTGAGTTCAAATCCGGCCTCAGACCAAACACTTGACACTTACTAGCTGTGTGACCTTGGGCAAGTCACTTAACCCTGACTGCCTCACTAAAAAAAAAAAAAAAGAAAGAAAAAAAGAAAAAAAAGAAAAGAAAAAACATCAAGATAAATAAAGGATAAATAAATAGGAGGAAAAAAGGGATGCCAACTCATATCCTGTAGGAGGCTCAGGGTGAAGACAAGAACCTGACTGAAACCTGGGATGAGGAGAAAGGGGCCAGCAGGGCACCCTTCTGGACGGTTTCAGCCATCTACCAGTCTCCTGGGGCCACACCTAGGATCCAGCAAAGGTCTGGCTCATGGCCCAACAGGAACACTTCCCCATCCCTATCCTGTTAACTGTCCCATGGCAAAAGCACTTTGGACCCAAGGTGTGTAAGAGAGCATGGCTGGGTTCATGGGAAACAGAGGCAGCTACCACAGCTCCAGGGCTTGGACCCTTACCCCAGCACTGGATTCACAGCTCACCAAAAGAGGTGAACAAGCCCCTGTCCAGAGCTGGGACACACATCCTGAGCTCTGGCCTGGGACTTAACAGACAAGCTACAGGTCCCAGCCCTGCCTCCTCCTCCCTGGGTGACCCTGGGCTAGTCCCTTCCCATCTCTGGCCTTGCAGGCCTCCAAGGTTAGTCTCCCACTGTTGCACAGCTGCCCGGGGATGGATGTGAGGACCCGAGGGTCTCAGCCTAAAGCCAAAGTGCCCTTAGGAGGTTCAATGCATCATCCTCTAAGAATGATGAAGGAACGTGTTCCCAAGCCACCTAGAAATGATTTCAGATTATAATCACTGACTGGTGTCTCTCTGTGCCTGCTATCTCCCACTCAGAGGCACCAATCAATACCACAAAAGCCAACATGTCTGTCACACCTGAGGTGGGCTTCAAACGATGGGCAGGTATTCAAAAAACCAAGCATGGGAAGGCAGGCGTTCAAAGACCGGGAGACAGGAGAGCAGGGCACGTCGTGGGTCAGGGAGAGGAGCCAGACGTGCTATGGAGGGCTGTGGGGCTACACTGGGCAGAGTCCCGAATGCCGGACAGAGACATGAGGGAGCCCAAGGAGTGAGGGGAGAAGGATCATTGTGTGCCACTGTGTGGGACAGGGCCTGTCAGGAGGCAGCCGTGCCCCTGCGGGCTGGTCATTGGCCTCAGCGCCCCTGCAGGAGCCTTGGCAGGGGCTTACCTGAGGCTTTCCTTGTTGGCCTGGTAACTGAACAATTTCTCCTGGATCTCTTCGAGCTCGGCCTCCAGCTCACTGCCGTCTCCCAGGGTGCCCAGCCCCCTTCTGCCTGTGTCGGCCTGCGAGCCCCCTGAGGAAGAGACGGAGGTGCCTGACTGCCCAGGGGCCCAGGCTGCCTGGCTGGGAACGCCGATTTCATTTCTGGCTTCCGATTCTCCAGGTGGGGTATGTGGGGATCCCGAGGCTACTTCTGCCCTTTTCAGGGCTCAGGGAGGGTCACAGCAGGGCCCAGGATCACAAACCTCAAGCTAGGAGAGGCCTCAGAGTCCACACTGGGGCAGCTACATGCTAGGCCTGCAGTCAGCAACACCTGAGTTCAAATCCAGCCTCAGCTACATGCTAGCTGTGGGACCCTGGGCAAGTCACTTAACCTGTCTGCCTCCATTTCCTCATCTGTAAAATGGGGATCATCATAGCCCCAACCTCCCGAGGTTGCTGTGAGGATCAAAAATTTGTGAAGCACTTGGCAGTCCCTGGCGCACAGTAGGCCTGTTTGTTCTCTCTCTCCCACTGACATCAGGACCACAAAACCCTTCATGGAGGACAAGGGATTTGACGACAGAAATCCAGTTCTATTTGGCACCTGTGAGACCTTAGGCAAGTCACTGAACTCTCTGGGCCACGGCTTCTTCCTCTGTAAAAAGCGGGGCTAACACGAAGTGGTCTCAAGGGTCCCTTGGTCCTAGGGCGCCTCTCATTGCGCCAAAGCATTTCTGCAAACCAAATGGGCCCGAGGACAGGCCCCTGGAAGGAAGGCTGCCAGGGCAGGGCGGCCCAGGGAAGGCCTCTGGGTCCCGAGGCTCACAAAACCAGCTTCTGCACTGGAGAGCGTGTGAGGAGGCAGCCCTGAGCACTTTCCCACCCTGCGTATCCCACAGAAGCTTTGGTGACTCCACCTCGAGCTCCACGTGCCCCCAGACACAGGGCCAAGATACATGTGGCGAGAGCACAGAGGGAGGGCTGGCTACTCGGGATAGCGTGAGGCCTGCCCACAACTACCCAGCTGGCATTCAGACCTCCCTGGGGACGCTGTGCTCTCCTGGCCTCCGAATCTGGGCCTATGGCAGCCAGGCAAGAAGAGAGAGGTCACGGCGCCATCTACATCGTGTCCCAGGGCACCACCTACCTGAAGCTTCCAGGCCCAGACTGGGCCTCCCACTGTTCCCTAGGAAGTCCTCGGGAAGAAGCAGGTGGCCACCAGGCTGGGGACGCCCTGTCTCAGCAATAGCCGCAGGCTCTCGGGGGCCCGGCTCAGAGGGAGCTAGCCCAACGGCAGGCTGGAAGGCAAGGACACAAGATGACCTCCCTCTCTGGGGGCTGGGGCAAAAGGTGGGGAAGCAGGAACCTGGTGCCACCCTCCTAGGGCAAGTGTGATGAGAAGCTCTGCCACATGGCACACTGCATGCGGAGTCAGAGCCCAGCTCCAGATGAATCCTTACCCCTCCAGGCCTCGGACAATGAGGGAGTCTGGGGGGAAGAAGTGGAAATGCCCATCTCTCCAAGATGCCTTCTACCGCGAATGAACTTCCTCCTCTAATCACAAGATCCCCAGGGAATGGCCGGGCTTCGCTGTGGGGAGCACCGCCTCCCTGGAGTGTCGGGCCCCCCAGCCCGCCAGCGCTGACAAGCCAGGACCAGGATGAAAGAATGTGTTCCTTTCCTGAGAGCCAGCTGGTCCCTGACCTGTTGCCTTCCTCTCAGTCAGGACCGTAAGGGACCAAGGACAGGTCACGTAACTCTCCACCACATCCGCCTGGGGACAAGGCCAAGAGAGGCTGGGAACGGGGCAGTCCTCAGGCTCCCACACCAGAAGAAAAACTCAGAAGCCGACCGAGGAGCTGGAGGCTTTGGGAGCCTTTTGGACTTCAACTGCATGGAACAAAATATCCGGCCATATTGTCCTTGCCTCTCGAAAAGCCTGGAGGCCCGTCCCAGGCAGCGGGTGCGGATCAAGACGGGGAAGAGGAGGCCAAAGACAGGCCAAGAACAGGGAAGACAAAAAGAGCCACGTCACCTTTCTGGGAAGGGACAAAACCTTCATGATATGTGTGTGATTACTCTCCGGCATCTACCTATGGCTTCTTCTTCTAGGCATGTGGTCCAGAGACCGGGGGATGATACTGCGGCAGACGCGGGGAAGACTTCCTACCCAGGGCTCATCCCCGGACAGCCACAGGAGGAAGTCAGGGAAAGGGAGGGAGGGTCAACAGGTCCCTGAAGCAACTCACACTTTTTATCAGGTCTCGGTCACCTGCTGTGGAGGAGGGGGGAGGCAGCGTAGCCTCGGCGTGGAGGGGCCTGTGGCCAGGAGGCTTTGGGAGGCCCCTGGGTTCTGTGCAGGTCCTGATGCTGGGTCCTGGTGCCACCAGAGTGGCAGAGGGGCTAGGCTGGGCAGGGAAGAGGGGCACAGCTGTTTCTGCCAAAAGCCTAAGACACAGAAAGTCAGTCAGTCAAGACATTATTACAAAAATCACACAGAATCTTAAGGTGAGTGGTGATTTCAACGTCCAGTGTCCACCCACACTTACCCCAAAGTTCCCCATCATAACCCGCCCTATGGCGTATAGAGGAAGGGGCACCTGCTGCCTCTCAGGGTGACCCATCCCCCTGGGGACCGCTCTCACTGTGAGGAAGGTCTGCCTGTGGGCAGCACACACTTCAGGGTAGAGTAGGAAGCCTCCTCCCATCACTCCTGGTGATGTATGCCCCTCGGGGACCAAGCAGAGAAAGCCACGTCCCTCCTCACAGGGGCACTCCCCCCAATCCCTGAAGGCAGCTCCCATCCCCGGCCCAGCAGGATGTCACTTCTCCCAGGTAAACCTCTGTTCAGCAGGTCCTCACATGACCTCACCTCAAAGCCCTTTCCCACCCAACAGCCCCCTCTGAACTCATCTGAGCTCATCAATGACCTTCTTAAAAGAGGACACATAATAAATACTCTTCGACCCAACAATACCCCTCGGAGGTCTGTACCCCAAAGAGAGCAAAGAAAAGGGAAAAGGATCCAACGTACAAAAACATCTTAGCGGCTCTTTTGGTGATGGCAAACAAGGAAACTGAGGGGATGTCCATCCACTGGGGAATGGCTGAACAAGCTGCGGCCTGTGGTTGTGATGGAGGATGACTGTGCTGTATGAAATGATTCAGAAAGACCTTAGAAGTCCTAGGTGAGCTGATGCAAAGGGAAGTGAGCAGAACCAGGAGAACCCCGTACACAGTGGTAGCGACGCTGTAGGACAGAACCGTGAATGACATCACTGCTCTGACTGGGACAGTGATCCAAGACAACTCCAAAGGACTCATGATGAAGAACGCTCTCCGCCTCCAAGCTCTGAATGCAGACCAAAGCAGACTTCGACTTTCTGGATTGTTCGTGTTCCAGTTTTCTGTCCGTTTTTTCTTTTGCACGTGGTAACATGGAGATGTTTTGCATGACTGCACATGTATAACTGATATCAGGTTGCTTGCCTTCTCAAGGAGGGCAGGAGGGAGGGAATTTGGAGCTCAGAATTTTAAAAAATTGTTAAGTAGGAAATACTTAACAAAATAAATAAAAGCATATTTTAAAATGGAGGAGGCATAGAATGGAGGTTGATACTCCAGACGAAATCTGATGAGAGCAGTGAACAGCAGGCTTTCAGTTCCGGCCTGTCTCTATGCAGCCCAAGGGTGCGATCCCTCCCAGCTTAATGTTTCTAGGACATCTGATGAGCAGACGAGGACTTTATCCAAGTCACTGGTAAAAATGTGGAGCCGCATGGGCCCCGGCCCAGATCCCTGGGCTCCTCCCCTGGACGCTTCCTGCCACATGGACTCGGAACTCCTACTGAACGTCCAGAGGTCTGCTTGTCCAACCAGTTCCGAGTGTGTCCCGCCACAAGAATATTGTGCCACTCTACGACAGTTTTGCTAAAGCTAGGTAGACTGTGGTCACATCATTCTTCATCTCTAATACTTAAGTAACCCAGTCCAAAAGTGAAATCAGGCTTGTCTGAGCAAGGGCTTATGGTCCCCTGGGAGCACTGCCTCCCTCTCTGGAGTCAGCCAACCATCTTTTTGACGTGGGTGAGAACCAAAGTCAATCTCATTGGTTTAGAGTTTGTAGACACTCTCCTTCTAAACACTTGTTAACTGAAAAAAATAAAATGTAGTTAAAAGAAAAGAAAACTGGGACATCTGTCCTTTTCCAATCTCATAGGATCTCTCCTGTCCATGATCTTTCGAGTGTCCTAAAGGTGGCTCACATCTGCCAGGTCTCTCCATGTCCACGAAGGCAGGATCCACGGGAGTCACCTGATTGGGAGCTCCCACTTTTCCAGTCTTCTCCCCTCAACACGCTCTACAATCCAGGAAAGGGGTCTCCCTGCCACGTGTTCCTCCAGCCCGAGGCTCCGTCTCCTGTCTCCAGGCCTCTGTCTTGCAGCACCCCGGCTTCTGGTCTCCTCAGTCTTCCAGGCCTTTCTCCTGAAGGTCGCCTTCCTTCTCCTGGGGGCCTGCTGGGGATGCACCAATTGTCTCCCTGCTGAGTTTCTGAGCTCTCACGGCCGAGGCTCTTCCTTTCTCTTTATTGGCCTTTCTTTATATCTCATGTCAAGCACGGTGCCTGGCAGGCAGCAAGTGCTCCACAAATGCCTGCTGATTAATTTTTTAATTTGAAGCTCGTTGGGAAGTTCCCAAGGATCCACATTGGTCTTCCTTTGCGTCTTCACCATCCCCTTCTTAACGTCTCCCATTCCTTCTGGAATGACTTTTCTTCATTGGGTTTTAAGTGGCCTTTGACCAAACCTAGGCCCACGTCTCCTCCCCACCTCTCTCCAAAGCTCTGGAGCGGGCGCCTGCTCCCTGCCACCCAGTAGAACCTCCTGCCGAGGAGAGCCAGGGCCCCCAGAGGGCTCCTCTTCTGCCTCGTGCCAGCCAAGGAGCCACCAGCTTCTCCGAGTCAGCCTTCAGAAAGCATATGCGCTCTGGTCTCCGTCACCAGAAGGCGCTCTCCCTCCCAAACACCTTGGTCTCTTGAGTTCTTTCTGCCTCGGTGGTCGCACCCCTGGACAACCTCCAGGAAAATGGGAAAATGGAATTGAGCACAAGGGGGTGCGTCAAGGGCTTCCGTAGTCTGATTCCCATTTTGCAGAGGAGGAATTAAGGCAGGATTCTAATAGCATCTCTCACCTCAATTCCCTGGGGACAAGGACCAAATCTGGACCTGATACACAGCAGGTGCTTAATCAATGCTTGTTGCTGGATTGCTAACACTTGGCCTCTGCTGGGTGTGAGATCTAGATCTAACTGGCCAGAAAAAAGCCCAAACTAGAACAACAGTTACCAGGAAACAGTCCTGGACTCTCCCGGCCAGTGGCTCTTGGCCACGGCCTTCTCTGCCTGGCCCACCTGAACTGTCCTTAATGGGTCAGGATGAAGCCTGCTCTCCCTGGACTCAGCACAGACTGGCCTGGCCTTCACTGGGGGCAGAGGGAGGAAGGGGACGGCTGCCCCTCTGCCGGCCAGGTCAGCCCAGGGCGAGAAGCACCCATGGAGATGGAGACCTGGGCACTGGACAGGCCCACAGAGGGCACATAGCCCCAGCAGGGCCCCCGTGGTCACCGAGTCCTAAGCACCACCCCAACACTGGCCCTCAGCACAGAGTTGCTTCCCCTGCGAGGCCTCAGTCTCCCCATCTGCACCGTGGGATAACTGCCTTCCTCAGGCTGCTGAAAGCAGTGTGCTCTCCCCCTTACCCAGGACGTAGGCGCCCAGCGGCGCTGTCCCTCTCCAAAGAGTCCAGGAGGAAGTCGGGACAACGAGGCTGCTTCCTTACAGGCCGGACGACGTTCCTGGGAAGACACAGATGGCACAAGCTTGCTGACCCAGCACTTCTGGAACTTGGGGGGGTTAGAGGGGGAGGCCAGGGGCTGCCAGCACTTCGGCCCTGGCACTCTCCAGATCTCTCATTCCAGTCCCCTCATCTACCAGAGGCCAACGCTGAGGACTTGGCCAAGGTTGTAACAACAGGTGAGCCAGGGCCTGTCCTCTCTGCCTCGGGTCCCAGGTCAAAGCCCGCCTCCCCCAGGAAGCCTTCCCTTTGCCCATTACTTCCTGTTTGTCCTGTATGCTTGCACGCAGCTGTTTGCAGGCTGTCTCCCCCAGTAGAATGGGTGCTCCCTGAAGGCAGAGACTTTTTGTATCCTTCCTTTTGTACCTTCCTTTCTGTATCCCCAGCACTTGGCCCAGTGCCTGGTGCATAGTAGGGACTTTATAATAGTTTGCTGACTCAGTTCCACAGCGACTCCAGGACTACATAAGAGCCGACAGAAGCCTCCCTCCTCCCCCACGTCCCCATCCTGTCACGCCCCTCCCCAGTCGAGGCTTTGGGGCAGAATCACCAGTCACAGGGGTGAGTTCGGTTCTTTTCTTTGAGGACCCTGGAAGGCCAAGGGGTCAGCCAAAGCAGGCTTAGAAAGGTGGGGGAAAGCACAGAGGAGGAGGGGGAAAAGAATGAGGAAAAAACCACGTTCAACTTTGTCAGCTTCAGAAACCCTGACCAAACCTAACATTAAGATCTTCTCCTGTCTGAGCTCGGGGGGCAGCTGGAAACCTGCCAGGGACCCCAAGGGCAGGGGGCCAAGCAGTGGGTCAGCCAACTGATGCAGTGCTCACAGTGACCTGCACTTAATAAGTGGCCGGAAATACATCATGGATACGCCTGACTAGGAAAGGAGGGCTTGCAGGGGGCCCCAAGTGGCCTGGGGGTCCCTGGACAGCTACAGGCCAGAGCCAGGCCCAGGACACTGGGGAAAACGCTCGAGACGGGGGCGGGCAGGGCCCCCGGCAGGACAGACCACTCAGCAAACTAGACAGGGTCACTCACAGGTCAAGGAGGTAGGGGTCTCCAGAAGCCAGCTGAAGTGGCCAGCCCCAATGCCCGCTGGGTCTCTGAGGTGCTCTTGACTGTTCTGCGTCCACAGCAGCTTCCCCGGTGGCAGTAGGGGGGGCATCAGTAACGGGGACCTCAAATGTCACTCTCTTCTGGGATGCAGCTGCTGGGGAGCAGGATCTGTCCTTGGCCAAGGCCTTGTGCTTCCAGAGTGTAGCACACCGATGTACAACCTGGTGCAGATTGCGGGCCACCTGCCCAACACACAGTGATCCCCGTCCTAAGGCCAGAGCAGGCCCCTGCGGGCCCCAGCCTCCTCGTGGCTCCAGTCACCTGCTATGAGCGACACAGAGGCTCCACATGCCTCCCCCGCCCAGCCTGTCTGACCATCAGGAGCAAAGGAAAACGCTCGAGGAGAAGACGGGGTCCTTACCTGGGCCTGGTGCTGGGCGTGGAAATGCCCACGGAAGCTCTTCATGCCAGCCACGAACCTCAGGAGGCGGGTAACGCCCTCGTGAACCAGGCTGCCGTGGTAGGCCAGCGCGGCCCGCTCCAGCCGGGCTTTCTTCCTCCTCTGCTCCAGCACAAATCCCAGCCACGCGTCCCAAACCTTCAACAAAGGAAGCCCACGTGACCACAGGGCAACGTGGGTGGGCTTCAGAACCGAGGGAGGACGGCCATGTTCCCTGCACAGCAGAGCCTAGGAAGCAGGTCCCAGGACCGCTACGAGGTCTCTGGGCATGACATGCATATCTAGAAGCACCACATGAGCATGAAGAAGCTTCAGGAGTGCCACCAAGGACTCGGGGACCAGGCTGTCCAGCCTCCTCATGTCACAGAGCGAGGCAGCACAGGAAGGCTGTGGGTAATGCCCCCAGGTTGTCCAGGGCCCCGCCACCCCCCCGCCAGAGAGGAGGCCTGCAAGGTGAGTGTGACATCAGGGCATTCACGAGTCTCCAAATCAATTCCACACACACTTAGCACCAAGTAGTGACAGGCCGGGCACTATGCTCTGTGACAGGGCTCCTATGAGGGGAGAGGGCCAGGGGCACGATCCTGCTAAAGCAGAAGGAGGCCTGGCTTTGGAGGTTCACATGTCACCTGGGCCACTCGCCCCCACTCCTGCCCTCGGTCCGGGAATCCTCCTGTCAAACAGGTCTCCTGTTCTAGGAGGCCTGGAGCCAGAGCCCAGGACGAAGGGAGTGAGCGCCCCGTTTGGGGCCGGGGCCACCTACCTTTCCCTGCAGCGTGAAAGACCAAAGCCAGAGAGCCCGAACGGTGGCTTGCTGCTCCCGCTGCTTCTCCCCAAGCTGCAGGCCAAGGACGAGGGGTCAGACATGCCACCGACGGCCCAAGGAGAAGACAAAGGCAGCTCAGAGAGGGCAAGCACAAGAGAGGGAGCGAGGAAGGGGGAAGGAGGAGAGAGAAGAGGAGACAGAGAGAGAGAGAGGAGGGAAAGAAAGAAAGGGAGAGGACAGACAGAGAGATGTGGAGGAAGAGGCAAAGACACAGACAAGAGGGAGACAGACACAGAGAGACAGAGAGGAGGGAGAAAGACAAAGAGACACACGGTGAAACAGAGAGACCCCAGAGTGACAGCCCGGGTGGAAGAGGAGAGAGAGCAGAGAGAGGAGGGGCTGGGGTCCAAGCAGGAGCAGAAGTGCATGCCAGCATGCAGGGCCTCCACAGTGACGCAGGAGGTACTCTCCCACTGGAAGCCCCAGCGATCAGGGAGGATGGGACAGATGACGCCCCAAGGACCCCCCACACTGCATCAGGACAAGTGCCTTCGTCATGCTTTCTGCTGGGGCAGAACCCACCAAAGACCAGAGGCCCTGATTTCCCACTGGTTCCCCAAAGAGCGCACGAGGGCCGTGGACAGAGGAGAGGACACAGGCTGCCCACCTGGCACTTCCACATGGAGAAGGAGGAGCGGCTGAGTCTCTGAGCCATCAGCTGGACACCCTGCCTCTGCAGGAGCTAAGGAGAGAGCAACAAGGGGGCTGGCTCCCAGCGCTCCAGGGATGCCACGCCTCAAGGCCCGATAGGCTCTACACTCTCCCTGGACTTGGGTGTGGATTCCACTGAAAGGAAAAACTAGCCCCTGGTTCCAGGAGCAATCACAATCAGCCAGCCCCACCCCTGCCCCTAACCTCCCCGGCCTGGTCTCATCTGGGACCCTTCCCATGTGCTGGGTTCCAGGCGTGGCTCCAGCAGCGGCTCACCATCTTCCGGATACACGCCAAGTGGTACTTCTTCCAGCGGGCCAAGCAGGTCTGCAGCAGCCTCCTCCCATGGTGCTGAGCAGCCCGCTGCAGCTGGGCTCTGTGCAGGGAAGCCCTCTGGCCATGTTCCCGCCAGCGCTGAAACGAGGCTCGGAGACGACCTAGGGCGACCAAAACCGAGTGAGGACAGCACTGGGGAAGGTCAGAGGGGCTGAAGACACCCAGCCACCTTCGAGGGCTAGAGAGCCCCCAGGCCGTGGCGCCCATCCCCCTTCCTGCTAAGTCACCCCCGCTTACTGAGCCCCACTTCTGTGCCAGGAAAACGAAGATGGGACCAAAGCACCCTTTAGACGGCTTCTACCGTGATCTGGGGATTCGCCTAAACTCTCCAAAGAGGGAACAACTGGAGGGAGGCAGGGCATGTAGCAAACTCACTTTGCCAGCCAGCCCCTCCCTCACCTCGCTCCCACCGCTTCCTGGCCTCCGTGATGGCCACATCGTCCTGCTGCCGGGAGTATATCCTCAGCGATGCTGTGTCCCTCCAATGGATGGTCACCTGCAGAAAGGAGGAATGAGCCAAGAGAGGAAGGCGCCTTTAATGCTCGCTTCCCAAATGGGTGCTGGCAAACCTATCAACCAATAAGTATTTATTATGCACTAACGAGGTGCCAAGTGCTGGGGGCACAAAGAGAGCAAAAGCAGTCCTTGCCCTCCGGGAGTTTACATTCTATCAAGGAAGACAACAAACACATCTAAGTCTGAATATCCAAAATAAATGCAGAGTAGACGGACAGTAGCCTGAAAATGGCAGGTGCCGGTGCAGGGAGCATGGGAGGAGTCTGCCGCAGGAGGCAGGGGGTGTGGAAGGAAGCAGGAAGTCTAGGAGGCAATGAGGGAGAGCTTTCCAGGCACGGCTGGCAGCCCGGGCAAAAGCAGAGTGCTGTGTGACGTCCAAAGCCAGCGGACGATGGCAATGGGGATGCCCGGGAAGGGGACGCGGAAGACGCGAAGGGGCCCACCAGAAGGGCCCACCGTGCCGGAAGACTTTCCCTGTGACGCTGGAGGCTGGAGGGAGCTGCAGGAGTCTAGGAGGGTGGCCTGGGGCTAGACCGTGCACTTTAGCAAAACCTTTTTGGCAGCTGAGTGGAAGCTGGCCTGAAATGTGGAAGAATCTGAATGAAGGAAAAAGCAGTGATTACGTTGTGCCAAGCACCGTGCTAAGCAAGGTGAATACAAAGAGAAAACCCAAGATGTTCTGGCTCAAGAACCTCTCACTCTGACTGGGGACAAGAAGACACAAAAGGAAGCTGAAGCCAAGCCCAATTCTGAGGTGTAGATGGCACGGCCTCGGGCGCTCCAGGAATGGAGTCTAATTGGGACGTGGCTGCAGCAATCCTGGCAAGAGGTGCTGACGTCAGTCTCAGTTAGGCCCAAGACCAGCAAGAAGGGGACGCATGTGGCGGCTGACTGGATGCGGAGAGGGGAAGAGAAGGGTCTCTGAGGGGCTGGGCCCGGGGGCACCCTCCAAAGTCACAAGCAAGGTGGCAAGAGGGGAGGGTCTTTGCTGGATGTGCTGTGAGCTCAAGTAGCTATGGACCACCCAAGCTGAAATGTCCACTGGGCAATATGAGCCTGGAGTCCAGGACAGAGAGAAGGGCTGAAGGGGCAGAAAAACACGACATCATCAGCACAGATCAGAAAACGAAACCCCTGGGAAATGAGAAAACCAACACAAAAAGAAGCTGGGAGAAAAAGGGAAGAGGACGTAGGAGAGAGCGAGCTGTGAGGGTCGCTGACGGTGGGCAGCTGTGAGGAGCACCACGAGAGAGGAGGCCACAGAAGGGGCAAGGATGAGGACAGAGAAAAAGTCACGGGCTGCAGCAACTGAGAGATCCCGGGGAGGCTGAGGGAGGCACCCCAGCCCAGCCATCAGGCAGAATTCTGACCCCGAAGGTCAAAGGAGGCTTGGAGAAAGGCAGAGAGGTGTGTGGGCAAGCGCCAGGTTGTCCAGGAATGTCGAGAGCGGGGGAAGGACCCCAGCAGACACGAGAGGAGGAAGCACTGGGGCGGGGAGAAATGCCAGGGAACCCTGAAACTGTCCTAGGCACAGGAATAGGTGTCACCTGGAACCTCCATCACCCAGACCCAGGCCTGGGTCACAGATCCAGGGTGAGAGGCACGGTCACAAGTGAGGGTAGACCCACTGTGGCCGAACAAGGAACAAGTTCCAGAAATGGCCTTGTGGCCGTTCGGTCATTAGTCTTGTCTGGCTCTTCCCGACCCAGTCTGGGGGTTTTCTTGGCAAAGATACTGGAGTGGTTTGCCATTTCCTTCGCCAGCACATTTTACAGATGAGGAAATGGAGGCAAGCAGGGTCAAGTGACTTGCCCGGAGTCACACAGCTAGTTAAGTGTCTGTCTGAGGCTGGATTTGACCTCAAGAAGAGGAGTCTCCCTGAATCCCACCCAGCTGCCCCCAGCAATGGCCTACACGATTATAAAACACACAAATAAAGACAGATAAAGAGCTGGAAAAACATTAACTGTTCATACGTGGGCCAAACTAATGTGAAAAAATGATAATTCTGCCTAAACTAATTTACTTATTCAGTGCCACGCAAATCAAAGAATTACTTCACAGAGCTAGAAAAAATAACAACAAGATTTATCTGGAGGAACGAAAGGTCAAAAGTATCAAGAGAACCAATGGAAAAAAAAAAAGTCGGAGGGGGGTGGGGCCTGGCCGTCCCGATCTCAAACTGTCCTATGAAGCCGGATCACCCAGACAACCTGGTACCGGGGAGGAGACAGACGCCCATCAGTGGAACAGATCAGGGACACAATATACAGAAGCAAGAGAGCACAGTAACCTGGGGTCTTGATAAGCCCAAAGATCCCCGCCATGGGGCAAGAACTCACTTTGACAAAAACTGCTGGGAAAACCAGAAAGCAGCCTGGCAGAACCCAGGCAGAGACTAACATCTCATACCATCTACCAAGAGAGGCTCAAAATGGGTGCAGGATTTAGACATAAGGGGAGACATCATGAGCAGATTAGTGGTACATGGAAGAAATTACCTGACACATCTAAGGATAACAATTAGAGAGGCTTTACAGGAGGTAAAATAGATAATTCTGATTCATAAAATTAAGAAGTTTTGGCACAGACAAAATCAATGCAATTAAAATGAAAAGAGAAGCAGGAAACCAAGGAGGGAAATCTTTGCAGCAAGTTTCTCTGATAAAGGTTTCATTTCCAAGATATACTGGCAACAGAGTCAAATTTACAAGAGCCACTCACACTGATAAATGATCAAAGGACATGAATAGGCAGTTTACAAAGGCGAGCAATGGCCATATGAAAAAATGCTTTAAAACACTAATAATTAGAGAAATGCAAATTAAAACCACTTTGAAGTACCACCTTATACTCATGACATCGTGAAGAAAAAAGGAAAATGACAAATGCTAGAGGGGACGTAGAAAAACTGGTACACTGATGCATTGTTGGTGGAGCTGTAAACTGGTCCAACCATTCTGCAAAGTAATTTGGAACTATGCCCCCAAAAGCTGTCACACTGTTTATGTCCTTTACATCCTTTATTATATATAGTAATATCACTACTGGGTCCATAAATATCATCACTTCCATCACACAGAGGAGGAAACTGAGGCTCAGACAAGTTAAGAAGCAGGATGCCCACAGGCAGACAATCCCTGGCAAGATGGAAAGTAAAGCCACGGCTCCTTCCCCAACAACTCACCCCCCAGGCACTCTAGCTGGAACACACACACACACACACACACACACACACACGCGCAACGTACTCTAACTTTGGCCCAGTGTTTCAGACATACAGCCCTCTTTTCAAGAGCCATGTTAGGGGAGCCCAGTTTTCCTGCTGCCTGGCTCGATCACTGTCCCCTCCCCTCTCTGCCCTGTGGTTTGGTCATCTGCACCACGGGGACCATCAGACATTCATGGCCTCCCTGCCAGGATCCCTGGCAAAAGGAGACCAGGCTTCTTCTCCCTTCCCTGACCTTGAGGCAGGGCCTGTGCCCCCCCTCGTTGGCCAGTGCTACCTGGCCAGTCCCAGCCCTCAGCACACCTTCCAAAGGATGGCTCTTCTGTAGTGCTCCTCAGCCTGGAACGTCTTCCTGGCCTCCTCCATCTGGGCCACGGCGTTTTCTCTCCAGAGATGAAACACCCACCTAAAAGGCAAAGCAGAGAGAGCAGCTGAGCAGTCGTGCTCCTCCCTTCAGCCTGGGTCCCCCCACCCAAAAGCCTGTTTGGGGAAGCCCTGGACATCTAGGCAGGCAACACACCTCCAAGAGATGTGTGAGGGCGAGGGCAGCCAGCCCCTACTCCGACATCAGAGAGCCCCCCCCAAAACAACACAGCGTGGACCAGGCACTTCTCAAACTGCCCAAGCAGAAGACGCTATTCTCTGACCTCTACAGTCTTTGGCCTTTGTACCTCTGAAGTTTAGCACGGGGTCTGACACCTAGCAGAGCTTACTAGATGGTCACTGAAGTGACCGGCTGGCTGCTTCTCAGGTCAAAGAGGCTGGTATCTTCTCCCTTACTAGATTCTGGGCTCCTTACAGTCATGGGCTGAATGCAGCACCCTGACTCCAGGCTCTGCACACTGCAGGTACTTAATAAATGCAACGTGCATGTGCCCCTATGACTCTGAGCACAGGAGACCCGGGGATGCTGCTAATGCCCAAGTCTCGGAGGAAACAGCAATGAAGGCTGGCAGGCACCTGGGGGAACCTACCACAAGAGCTCCCGGTGATGCTGATCTTCTCTCTCTGCCACCTGGCGCAGGATGGCTTTGACCCTGCCCTGATAAGTCTGCAGGAAAGAAAGCCTGGGGTTCACCACAAGAGCCCAGGCCGTGGACCCAACATCTCCCTCCTTGGTCTTGGTCCACTGGGCCTGCCCCCAAATCCAAAAGGGTCTTATGTATCCCCTGCCGCCGAGGGCATGGCCGGAGAAGCCGGGCTCTTTCAGCCACAGGGCTTGACCCCGGGACCAATGGCCAGCCCACCTGCCTCTGGGATACTTCTCTTGGGACACATTAGGAGCCCCAGACTGGATAAAGGCTCATCTCTGCCCTCAGGCAGGGCGGCCCCTGTTCATCCAGGGCCTACATGGAGAAGGCTTCCAGAGTTCTCAGTACTCTGAGAGTACTGAGAGTACGGCCCCTGGATGGACCTGAGTCAACAAGAAGCTGGTGACGTCAGAAGTCCCCAGGGGTTCAAAAGGGATCCTGTGAAGTTTAACTGGGCCGGGCCCGAGGCTAAAATGGCCAGGCCATGCCAGAGTGCCCCACAGAGGGCCCTCTCTTTCAGCCACATTGTTCCTGGCCTCCTCCACAGACTCTACCACCCGGGGCCTCCTAGCTGTTCTTCTGTCTCTGGCCTCCTCCGGATCTCCCCCAGGCCTAGAACACGATCCACTTTCCCTCCTTATCTCCACTCAACTCGGCCTTCCTTCCGCAGAAGGCCCTGCTGGCTGCCTCCTCACTGAGGGCATCGTCCTGCTGAGATTCCATCAGCTGGCCCTGGCTAGAGCTTGTGGGCACATGGGAGCTCCCCGAGGGCAGACACCTACTGTTACCTCTGTACACCTCGCACTTAACAGGCTGCTTGTAGACAAGAGGAAGTGAGGCTCAGAGGGGACAATGCTGGCCTGAGGCCACACGGAGCAGGTGGGAGGGCAGGCCTGTGGTATGGGCCCTGGGGCCAGAGAAGAGGAAAGCCTCCTACCATCCATGCGGCCAAGGCCCTGCGCAGCAGCACCTGACGGTAATGACGATCGGCACGAGCCACCTTCTGCCACTTCACGTTCTGCAGGGCCATGTACTAGAGGAACGCACACACACACACACACACACACACACACACACACACACACACAGGAGAAGGGAAACATGAATGGAGAAGGGGCACAGTAGCCAGACAGCGGGGAGAGAGGCTGGGGGCGGGGGAGATAGGGACCTTCTTCTGGGCATTCCATTCCAAGGGGACCAGGAGGAACCCAGGCACCGGGGCAGGCTGAGGGCAGGGCGGCCATAGGTGTCATCCCTGCAGGGCCTGGCTCTGGGTGATACCCTTTGATGGCGCCTCCCCAGGTAGGTCACCCGGGCAGGTCGCCCAGGGCTGCCTGTGGCTCACCTCTCGCCACTTGCTCCAGGTCAAGCGTAGGAGCAGATCCGAATTGAACACTGCAGCCCTCATCTCCCCGGCCTGCCTGAAAGAGGGAAAGGGGGCAAACGTTGGTTTGGCCAGATAGCCTGGGCCCAAACCTCCAGCCCTCCTTTCTACCCGGATCCCTAGGAGGAACAGGAGCTTTGAGATGCAGCATGAGAACCCGTGAAACCCAAGCTGGACCGGTGCTCCCTCCCCTGGGGTGTGCCCTCATGGGGCTAGTCAAACCCTGGAAGGCTCCGGGGGTCCTGGAGGTCAGTGCTTTCGGCTGGCTGCCAGGATCCTGAATCAGGAAGATACTTGAAAGCTTGATAAAGAGGTCGCTTTCAGCAGGGCAAAGGTCAGCAAAAGCTATGTGGAGGAAGGAGCCCAAGGAAGGAGGGATGGAGCCAGATCTTGGAGGAAGGGGCCAGTGTCAAGGGATTGAGACCAGAGGCAGGGGAGTCAGTGCTAAGAACGGGAGAAGGAACAAGAGAAGACGTGGAGAAAGAGAGCAGGACCAGAAGGACAGGGAACGGGAAGGTTTAGGGGGAACCCAGCTCCCACCTCGGGGGGGTCTTCTTCCTGCAGAGACTGGACTAGAGGGCAGCTAAGTCTCCTGGGTGACCATAAGGTAAGGGGGACAGCAGCATGAGCCAGGGTTGGGCAGGGCCTTGAACGCCAGACAGAGCATGAGAGCAACTTCATCAAACAGACGAAACCAGGGCCTGAAGGGCCTTAAGTCTGTGCCCAGACAGGATCCTTTGAAGGATCTGGACTTCAGCCTGAAGACCCCTATGGGCCACGGGAGCTCTCTCTCCTAAGTGTGTGCAGGGCTGCATAAATGGGCCCCACTGGGCCAAGCCCAGAGCAAGGCAGGAGGGCCAAAGAGGCCGATTTAACATGGAGGCCAGGCAAATTTTCCCAGTGAGTAGGCATGCCTCTCGGGACCCCATCAGCATCTCAGAGGCCGGACCTCAGAAGTTCCCAGGCTCACCTTCCCAAGGAGGACCCCAAAGGTCAGGGTGGTGGTGCGGGATTTGTGCAAGCTCACATAGCTGGTCTGGAGAAGCTGCCCCACCCGACTCAGGAAGCTCTCCCCCCACATCCCTGAGGAGGGGCCACCACCCCTCACTGAGCCTCCACTGAAAGGAGCCTTGAGGAAATAAGCTGCATTCAAGACCTCTTTAGAAGCGCCAGGCCACACTGTACCTCCTTCTCTGCCACCCTCTGGGGCCAAGCAGAACACAGCTAACTCCTCAACCACCCTAGACACCTGGGTGTGGCTCTCACGCCCCTCACCAGCTCCTTCCACTGACCTCCTCAGACCTAGTTTCAGGTCCCCAAGCACCTCGGTCATGGCACTCGGCAGGGACCACATCTTTTCCAAAGGATGGGCCCCTGCAGCCGGCTGCAACATTTGGGGGCAGCCTGACCAGGCCAGCGCCTAGTGGGGGCACGATCTCTCCCCTCTTCCATCCTTCCTGGCTCAGGGCTTTGGGGGAGGTGGCCCAGGAGAACCCTCTGGTCTCTCCCTGGGGAGCTGCCCTCCAGCTCCACCCCCTCCTCTGGCCTCTGCTCCCTGCTTTTTGGCCTTCACCCCTCTTCCATTCTATCTCAGCTGCTTCAAACCTAAGGTCAAGCAGCACCAGCCAACCTCAGAAAGACTCACTGTGAAACCGTATGTTGCCAAGGACAAAGGGCTGTCCAGCAGGGGAGGGGATGTGTGAGAGAAATCTAAGAGGTACTTGCTGGGCTTGGAGGGCCCGAAGGTTTTCCTTCCAGATCCAGAAAGTCTTCCGCAGCTGTCTATGGCGGTGATGGGCACATGCCGTGGCCTGGCCCCCTCTTTCCATGGAAACCTCGGCTGCCCGCCAGCGCCATGTGGACCAGTACTGCCGAAGCACCTGCCGCTCAGCGTGGAGGATGGCCTGTGACAGAGAGGGGAAACAGAGGCCGGTGAGGAAGGCACTGCTAAGGAAGACTCTGAACAGAAAGATCAGCCCCAGAATGCCGTCCCAGGGGCTCCCTTCTACTCTGGCTGAGCTGAACTCCCCACTGCAGCCCAGGCACCAGAGCCTCGAACTGTCCTCCCAAATCATGCCTATCAAAATCTTACCCATTCTTGCAAATGAAATTAAACGTCCCCACCTTCACAAAGCCCTCCGGGATTCCCCCAACAGGTATTGTCGGGATCTCGACTCCCTCCCGTTTCCATAGGAACATGGATCGAGGGCTACAAGGAGACCCAAAGATCAACCCCTCTGTTGGAAAACAGAAGAAACTGAGGCCCAGAGAGGTGTAAGTGATCTGCCCAAGGTCACAAAGGTAGTACATGAGTGCCAATGACAGAGAACGAGGTTTTCTTGGCATCGTACTGCCTTGCATTCTCATTACTCACGGTCCTGCCTACGTCTTATTTGTCTCTGTAACCTGCTCCCTAGCTCCAATGACGCCCTGCACGCAGTAGGGAGGGAGGGAGAGTCAAGAGAGGGAGTGCTGGACAAAGCTGCAGGACGGGAGCTGGGGGGCCTGGGTTCAAATCCTGGCCACCCCCACCTCATCTCTGAGGAAGGGCAGGATAATACCCGTCAGAGTGCCCACCTCGCCATGCTGAGCAGAAGGCCCGAAGGCAGCTCTGCCCTGGCTAAGCAGCAGGTGTGAGAAACTAATGCCTTCAGCACGTGGCCTCAGAGGTTCCAGATAAACTCTCCAGTCACCGCCCTCACAAAGGCGACCATGCCCTGCCCGCCCGTGTTCTGGGGCCCCTGCACACAGCAGGGCATGGGCTGGGGGCCAGGCCAGGGCCAGCGGGCACACCGCTCCTGCTGCAGAGGGAAAACTACTTACTGTTCTCTCAGACAATCGGGTTTCTCGCTGAAGACACATCTTCTGCCACCATGTATCAAATGCCCATCTCGTCACCAACTCCCTGAAAGGAAAAAGGAAGAGGAGTGAAAAGGGCTGACATTTACCCAGCAATTTTAGGGACAGAGCCCTTGACACAAACCGCCTGCTGTACACGAGGGGAAATCCATGCCGCCCAGGGAGACATCACTGGCCCCGGGCCTTCTGATGCACGGCCAGCACTTCCGGCCCCAGAACCAGAGCATAGGAGGAGGCAGCGGCAGTCAGCCCTTGCGTCAGCTGATCCCCGAAAGGCTTCCCGGGCAAGCAAGTGGTCCATCCACTCACAGGGACAAAGTGTTTTCTGACCTCAAGCCTAAGCCGACCCCTTTGCAGCTACTCCCCCACCCTGCCCCCAGTTCTTCCCCCTTCGGCTCTAGGAAGACAGCTCTCAGACCCCACCCCCAGCCCTCCCTCCTCCTCGTCCCCTGTGCCACCCTCAGCTTCCTGTCCTGGAAGTTTCACCACACCGTCCGCCAGAGCCCAAGACAAATCCACGGAGCCATCAATCGTGGTACCCCCTCCCCCCAGTCCACCCCAGGCTTCTCTTCCCCAGTCCCTTAGGCCAAAGTAGCTCTTCTCTCAGGTCACAAACCTTTCTGGACAAGAACTGACATCTAGGTAAACCAGTAACCCCAAATAACTGGATTCTGCACTGCCTGTTTGAGACTGGACCACAGGGATTCCCAGCCTCCACAAAATGAGGGGACTGGTGGCTGGATGACTGCCCAGAGCCCACCTGGTTCCAAACCCACAGTCAGAGAGGGCCCAGCTGGCCAGGTGACCACACGGTCTCCTCGTCCCTTACCCCCTCGGGGTCACCGTTTGTCCAGCCTTAAAGTGGGAGCAACAATAACCGTGAGAAGGGTCTCCTGTTGCTGCTGCCAGGACACGCTCTATGAGACCCCTGAGGGACGGCAAGGCCTTCAGTCTTCCTTGAGATGCTCTATTCCACTCACTTCAGTCATGCACAAAGGCTGGAAGTGCTCAACTGCCCCACAAACTCTACTGACTATCCCCTGGTCCCTGAGGCTTCATGGTCTTGGGACAAGGCTGAATCCCAGGACATAGAATAAGCTGCCCTCTGTGGGCCCCAGGCAGCGGCTTCCATGAACACCAGAATCTGCCCCTATCAGCTCCCCTGGACCTCCTGGGCCTCCACTTCAGTCACAGGCACAGCGTCCTGGGAGGGGCCACTGGACACCCTCATCAATGTGCAGGACACTGGAGCAGTGAGGCAGGACGTGTGACTCCATCGGCCTGGTAAGAGGCAGTTTCCTTGGGTACACCTGGCATGTCATTCAGGACAAGAAAAGTGCTTCGAGAGTCAGGTCTCACTAAGAGCAGAGGGATGGAGGATGGGGGAGAGCCCATGGGGATGGGAATCAGGAGACCTGGGTCCTGTTTCAGACAATGACATCAACCTTATTCAGGACCTTCCCAGATCAGGCCCTCAGGCTACTCATCCGGAAAAGATGGGGGCCTGGACTAGCTGATCTCCAAGCCCACTGACAGCGTCCTTCCCTACTCTGCCCATCCAGGCTCTGATCTCTAAAGGCCAAGCAGTCTATGAATACCACATAGAGATGCTGCCATCAATTTAGCTTCAACCCCCAAAGACATCTCTCAAAGCTCCTTAAGGAATACAGACAAGGGACCCAGCAATAGCACTTCCAGGGCTGTATCCCAAAGAGATCATACAAATGGGAAAAGGACCCACATGTACAAAAATATTTAGAGCAACTCTTTTTGAGGTGGCAAAGAATTTGGAAATTGAGAGGATGCCATCCACTGGGGAATGGCTGAACAAGTTGTGTCATATGAATGTAACGGAATACTATTGTGCTATAAGAAATGATGAGCAGGTGGACTTCAGAAAAACCTGGAAAGACTTGTAAGGACTGATGCTGAATGAAGTGAGCAGAACCAGGAGAACGTTGTACACAGTAACAGCCACGTTGGGCAATGACTGACTTTGATAGACATAGCCCTTCTCAGCAATGCAAGGATCTAAGACAACTCCAAAAGACTCACGAAAATGCTGCCCATATCCGGAAAAAGAACCATGGAGTCTGAGTGCAGATGGAAGCAGACTGTTTGCTCTCCTTTTCTTTTGTTGTTTTGTTTTATTTCTTCTTTCTCGTGATTCCTTCCATTAGTTCTAATTCTTCTATATATCATGACTAATGTGAAAATATGCTTAATATGAATATATATGTAGAGCCTATATCAGATTACATGCCATCTTGGGGAGAGGGGAGGGGAGGGGAAGGAGAGGAAGAAAATTTAAAACTCAAAATCTTATGGAAGTGAATGTTGAAAACTAAAAATTAATAAATCAATTATTGAAAAAAAAAAGGAAATACAGACAACACAGGAGGATGAGTTCAAATCTGGCCCCAGACACTCATTAGCCGTGTGACCCTGGGCAAGTAACTTGACCCCAACTGCCTAAAAAAAAAAAAAACTCAGAAAGAAATACAGACAGTAAAGAGGAGGTGGCCATTTTTTTAGCTTTAGGATAACCATGGATGACACCCAAACTAGGACAAACTACAGCAACAGCACCCATTTTCTGAATTCCAAATCCAACATTTTTTTTTAGTTGTTTGTGAATTTTCAAAAATGAACTAAGACATCCACAAAAATTAAGAGCATTTCTATATAGCAATAACAAAATCTAAGAGAAAATAAAAGAAAGGGAAGATCCATTCAAAATAACTATAAAACCCCCTAGGATAGTTGGGAGTCAAACTACTATAAAGCACATTCAGTACCTTATAAACACAATTACAAGATCCTCCCTGAAGAAATAAAGGACAACTTAAGTAACTGCAAGAATATCCAGTGTTCATGGCTGAGCCATACTAACATAATAAAAATGACAATACCAACTTTGATAAACTTAGATCTTCTCAGCAATGCAAGGACCTAAGAAAATTCCAAAAGATGCTATCCACATCCAGAGAAAGACCGATGGAGTCTCAATGCAGATCGACTATACTAATTTTTCTTTCTCGTGGTTTTCCCCTTTTGTTCTGATTCTTCTTTTACAACATGACTAATGTGGAAATATGTTTAATATGATTGTACACATATAGCCTATATCAGATTGCTTGCCATCTTGGGGGGGGGAAGGGAAGGGAAGGAGAAAAAATTGTGGAACTTTAAACCTCATAAAAGTGAATTTGAAAACTATCTTTACATGTCATTGGGGAAAAAGTATTATTAAGTGGGGGAAAAAATGATGCTACAATTTCCAGACCTAGTGCTTTACCAACTGAAGTATAATAGAGATACTTTATGGAGCTGGATAATAACAGTAGAAATCATTTGAAGACAACTAACTTAAAATATGTAAGACCAAAAGCCTCTCCCAGTAGATAAAGGGCCAAAGAATATGAACAAAAGCTCTTAAACTAAATCACTAATAAGAGAAACTCCAATCAAAACAAGTCTAAAGTTTGACCCCCACACTCTGCTACAAAATCTCAGTGTCAGAATTCAAACTCAGTGCTTCTAACTACTCCCTGTCCTCTGTCAGTGATACATCTGTTCAAGCCAGGGAGTCAAATCAAATGAAAATATTGACTATTCAGGGTCAGTTTACAGGCTTTTAAAAAACCTCTAGATTTATTTTGCTTCATTGGTTTTAAATAGACGTGCACATTTGTAAGCACATACACATACCCGTTAATTTTCCTTTATTTTAAAATGGTCTTGCAGTGTTTTCCATAAATTTTGTTTTAATTTTTTTTAAATAAAACTATACTTTACGTTACCTACGTTTTCCAGCATCTCCCTTTCCCCTTCTCCTCCCAAAAGTTCATCCCTTGTAATAAATAATTTTAAAAAGAAAAAACACAATTTAGCAAAATTAAGCAACATATCAGAAGAGCCTGACCTTAGATGCAGTGGGCCACACCCAGAGTGCCCCCCCCCGCCAAGAAACAGGGGGAGGGGCTTGCTTAGAACTCTCCTTCGAGGCCGGGTTTGGGCACAGCTTCAGGTTCAAACTGTCACGCTAACGTCAGTCTTTCCATTTACACTTCTGTCATTATGCCTCCTGTCTTCCTGGTCCTGCTGACTAGACTTTGGATTCATTCATAGAAGACTTCCCAAGCTTCTCCTCAATAACATGTTTTTTCCAATGCTATAATAATTCATTACATTCCAGCCTTCAACTGAAGACCTCCAACAGTGGGGAGCCCACTCCTCCTGAGGCATCCCATTCCATATTCAGACAACTCTAATTGGGAGTAAGCCAACGGGTCTAATTCCTGCCTTCTGGGTCCAGAATGAGTCTCATGGATCTTGTATTTGACGGCCTGTTAGAGGTGTAAGGACCATGATCTCGCCACCAAGTTTTCCCTTTTCTGATCTAGTGATCTCTATGTGTCACCCTGGCTGCTCTCGGAGGGCCTGGTAATAGCTTGTCCATATCCCTCCCAAAATGGGGTCCCTGGAGTTGGCCGTGATGCTCCAGACGTCATCTGCTCAGTACAGAGCAGTGGCCTCAGGGAGGAACAGGAGGCGTGCTCTGAGAGTCAGAAGATGTGCGTTTGAAACCCAGGTCTGCAGGGGATGCCCGTCAACTGGGGAATGGCAGAACAAACTGTGGTGTATGAATGTGATGGTTCTACTGCACTAGAAGAAATGGCGAGCAGGATGCTTTTGGGAAAACCTGGAAAGACTTGTATGAGCTGACGCACAGTGAACAGAACTAGAACAATTTATACAGTAATAATGATACTGTAAAGAAAAGCAGCTGTGAACAATGTGGCTACACGGATCAATACAATGACCCGTGACAATTCCAAAAGACTCGGGATGGAAAACACAATCCACCTCCAAAAAGTCAATGACTCTGAATGCAGATGAAGCTGATGGTTTTCACTTTTTCTTGCCTTTTTTTGGGGGGGAGACACCATGGCTAATATGGAAGTATGTTTTGCATGACTTCATATTTGTAAATAGGTACCATATTTCTTGTATTCTCAATAGGTGAGGGAAAGGAAGGAGAGAGAGAATTTACACCTGAAAAGTTAAAAATAAATTTTTTTCAAAGGAAGAGAACAATCCAGGCCTGACACCTGCTAGCTACAGCTGTGTGACTGAACAAGGAATGAATTTTCTGAGCCTCCGTTTCCTCATTTGGGGGCTGGAGAGAATCATCAAAAGGAGCCAGAATGGCAGGAAGGCCGGCCTCAGATCCACAATGAGGCCGCTGCTGGAGCAGTGGCTGAGAGCCCACGTCCGGCCTCAGACCTTCCCAGCTGTGTGATCCTGGACAAGGCATTTCCCCTGTCTGCCTCAGTTTCCTCCTCTGTAAAACTCGGGTAATAACACCTGCTTCCCAGGGTTGTCGTGGGGATCAAATGAAATGAGATGTGTGAAGTACTTAGCACCACGCCTGACATACAGGAAAAAGGGCCTCATCAACATCAGCTGTGATAATGATGGGGATGTAGAGAGAGGGAGCAGAAGCAGGGGAACTCAGAGGGAGGCAACAGTGTTAGAGAGAAATCTGCCCGTCGACACGTGACAGACCATGTGTCCAAGAGAACCAAGGTGAACCATGGGGCTCCGCTGAAAATGCCCAAAGCAACAGATATTCTGTCCTGGCCCACGTGGGACTTGATTTTGCCGCGCTGAAGACTGTTTTTCAGGTTTGGTTTGTTTTAATGCTGCCCAGCGGTGAGGGTGGGGGAGGGGAACAAGTGGGAAAACAAGTGTTTTTAAAAAAGAAAAAGCAGCAGAGAGAGGAGCCGCCCTGCCAAAGAGAAGCCACAGGCCAATTGTGTCTCAGAGGGCCTGGTGTTGGCGTGAGCAGCACGGAAGTGGGTCTCTAGATAGGAGGGGGGCCCTGCTCCAGGGCACGGCGGTGACCCCATGTCAGGTGATTTCTGCACCGTGTTCAGTGAAATCCCTGAAGTCACAGCACATACTGTCCTCCTGGCTCTGCTCACCTCCCTCAGCCACCCCTCAATGTGGGGCCTGGCTCAGCTCTCACCCAACAGAGCCCAACTCTCCACCCTGGCTCCTGACGGCCTAGGAAACAAAGGCCAAACTCCAGCGTGGCATTGGAATGCCTCTGCAGTCCGTGGCCACAACAAGCCTCGACCGCCAGTTTCTCAAGCACCCACTCTGCCCGGCTGCCCTCCACCAGACCAAGTCTCTAAGTCCTCACTGCCCTCTTTACAGAGTCCTATCCAAACTCCTTGGCCTCAGATCCGTGCCCTACCTTATCTGGGTCCTCTGGAGCTGCCCAACCTCAGCTCCCACTCTTCCACGTTTTGCACACGTTTTGTCCAGTCATGGTGGTCTGCTTAGTGCATCTCTGAATCCCTCAGATGATATATTTGTAAAGAGCTTGGCACAATACCTCACACATAGTAGGTTCTTAATAAATGCTGGTTCCCATCTTTCCCCCAACACCCCATGGGCCTCTCCCACCCTGGCCTCAAACTCTCAATCCTGCCTATTCTTCAGGGTCCCCTCTCCTCGGGAAGCGGTTGGCAGTTCTGACCCACTCTGACCTCCCCCTGCCTATACTCCGACAGCACTTACCAGCCCCAACACCAACATAAAAAAAACAAACCAAAAACCTCCCTAAATGTAAACAGAACAAGAAGAACCCCCAATCCAACCCAACCCAATCCCAGCACCAGAGCCATTTACAGTTCTAAAAGAAAAGACAAGAAATTTGAACAGTCTGTATTTGATCCACCCAATGGCAAATTTCCTGGGGAAACATCCTGCGGTCTTCCCTAACTGTTCCTTGGGCATTATCAGCAGAGCCAGGCAGGTCCTTCGATGGCCTGCAGCTTTCTGGGTTCCCTGGCACTTGGCTTGGCCCTCCCCTGGCCTACAGGAGGGGCTGTTCCCTGAGGCTGAGAATGGGCATTTGCAGCCTGGGCAAGACTGGTCCTCAGGCAACAGTCCACAGAAGAAGGCCCCTCCAGCCACCCAGATTTCCCAGTGCTCCTGAACTGCTGGCCTGATGGCCTTTCACAACCCACAGTCAGTCTGTCACCTATGCCACACAGCACTAGAGGACAGAGGGCACTAAATATTTTCATTCCTTCAGGCCACATTTCTCACATTCCTGATGTGAGCAGGGTCCTATGACAGGCTCTGGGGCATAAAGGACCTCCTCTCCTATAGGAAACACTCAAAAAAGGCTGAAAAGTCAAGTGGGGGAATGAGAAGCAGTCCTGGGAAATCAATGAAGTCCTGCCAAGATGAAGCAAGCTACAGATCCCTCCTGGTCAGGGATGCTGGGAAACAGCTGACTGATCTAGAAAGCTGAAGGCCTGGAATCCACAGCCCAGAGGAAGAAACCACTGGGCCTCCTCTGGAAAAGACCCCTTCATCCAAAGCCCCTGGAAGATTCTGATTGATTCTCAGCCACAGCAGGTCAGGGACTCCACAGCCCTGTGGGCGTTTGAACAGAGTGACTCTCTGGGGCTGGCAAATTGATGCCCCTGTGCACCACACCTACCTGTGAAAGCTGGAAGCCTCCGCCCGCCTCGCCCTCTGCTCCCGCTGCTGGCGGCTGAAGCTTTTCCAGGCCTCAAAGACGATGGACAGGTTTCTGCTCCGATAGTGGTGATTAGCTTTGGCGGACTGCATCTGAACAAAAGCAAAAGCCCAGGAGATAATTTGGGCAGACGGAAGGTTATCAAAAGAAGTGCGAACCACCAAGCACCCCACAAAAAAGCGCCCCAAATCACAAACGAGAGATGCAGGGAATCCCCTCTGCCACAATATTGACAAAGACGTTAGTCAGGAACAGTCAGTGATGGAGGGCTGTGGGAAGACAGGCCCCCGTACTGAGAAACAACTTGGAATCGAGAAAAGTTACTAAAAAGTTCATACCCATGATCTCAGGACCAGGTACACAAAAAGAGAAAGGTCTACTACATCCCAACAAGGAAGGCTCCCTGCGGTACCCGGATGGTTCACCAGCCCCAGTCTCTCACCGTCCCACATCACCAACTGCCTACTAGACAGTTTAAACCGAGTGTCCCAGAAACACCTCACATTCAGCATGGCCAAAACAGAAGTCAATTCCCTCCCTGCCCACCCCCCACACTTCCCTATTTCTGTCGAAGGTCCCGCTGTCCTTCTGGCTTTCCAGGATTGTGAAGCTGGCATTACCCTCGACTGCTCACCCTTGGTCACTCTGAGTAGCCAATCGACTGCCAAATCTCACCCTCTCTAGCTCTGTTTCCTCTCTCCTCCTGCTGAGGTGACAGTTACCTGCCTCCCACTAGGTCTCTCTCCAGCCCAGACACCACCCCCTATACAGTCACCACAGTCATTTTCCATCAGTGTGGGTCTGAAGGCACTGCATGTCATCACCCCCTACTCACTAAGCATGCACATCTGTTTGGCTCTTAAAACTCTCCACAACCTGGCCCCAAGCCCTCTCTGGCCTCACTGGACATTATTATCCCTACTCCCAAACTCTGTTTCCCACACACGACACACCATTTCCCACTTCGGTGCCTTTGCACTGGCTATCCCCCATGCCAGGAATGCCCTCCCTGCTTCCTCTGCCTCACAGGACCTCTCAGGTGGTACCTCCAGCACCACCTTCTACAAGAACCTTTCCTGATCCCCATCCTCCCCCAACGGCTGCTCACACCCTCCTCCAGCTGCCTGGTGTTTCACTACTTAAGACTGATTTGGCAGATGCTCCCATGTGTCCTTGTCTCCTGTGTGGACTGGAAGGTCACTGTGAGCAAGGATGGTGGCCTTTCTTTGCCCTTGTGGCCCCTGGGCCCAACTCGTGACAGGCACCTGCTAATGCTTAAGGGGGTGCCCATCGAGCAGGGTATGGCTGACCAGGGTGTGGTTCATGAAAGCAGTGAGATCACTGTACTGTAAGAAAGAGCAAGAATTCAACTTGCATGAACAGATGTTCCCAATGGAGAGAAACAGACACGGGAGAACGTTGCAGCTAAACTGAGACCAAAGGCCAGGGCCCAGCCCAGCTCAGATGAATGGGGGAGGGGAAGGAACCGGGGGTCGAATGTCACATACACAGTTAGACACAGTCACAGCGTCCCTGGCCTTGTTCTTCTGGCCTGCCTCCCTCCCTCTATAGCAGAAGCTAAGGACTCGGGGCCAAAAATACCCATTCTCTTTTCCAAAGTCTCCTTTGAAGAGGTAAATACGTCTGGAAGCGGCCACAAATTAGCTCATGCCCTAATTCCTGGTTAACGCCCTGCTGAGATTAGCTGACAACCTCTCGGAGCGCCAGCCTGGGACACGAGCAGGCAGCAGAGGGAAAGGGGATGCGGATTCACCTTTCTTTGTATGCCCAGCACCTAGTGCCCACGGTGCCAGGCACAGGCTTCCTGGCACCCGCTGGCCTCCTGCGCGTGACAGCCAGCCCCTAAGTCAAAGAGCGCCATGCCTCTGGGGACATTTCATCACCCTCTGTGCTTGATTCTGTTTCCTCATCCCTCCAACATCTCTGAGATGGTGCCTCACTCTGGTATTCTGATTCTGCTAAGATAGCACAGGAAGGCTAGAGAGGCGCTTCTCAACTTACTTCAGCTTTGTTCCTGCCAAGCCCCAACAGCCAGCACAGGACCGTGCACACAGTAGGCAAACACTTGAAGGGTTTTAATCTGATGGCCCATGGTGGGGGACCACGGGCCTATCAGGGAAGAATTAATTAAAGACAATCCCTTTACTAAACCCCCTTTTAGCACCAACTCCTCCAAGGTCCTAATTGCTGCTAAACTGACAGTCTTGAATTTCGCCACTGCTCCCTGCCAAGTCTGCCGGTGAGATAACAAAGAGAAGTAAGAGGCCTCGCTCCTCAGCCCAGGGGAACAGAGAAACAGACGCTTTTGTGATTTCTTAAAAGCTCATGCACCCCAATGGGAAGATGTCTTCAAGAAGCCACATGGGAGGAGGGAAAGAAGGAGGGGAGAGGTGGGGAAGGAGCGACCTTTCAGGCTTCCCAATCTGCTTGGTGGGGAAGAATTCTGGCGCCTGGACAAGAATTCCAGGCCGAGGACAACATTGCAGACATGGGCCCCGGGGGCCAAATAGATGCCATCAGTGTGACCTCCGAGAGTCCTTACCGAGGCCTGCCTCTGGTAGTCCAATAAGCTTGGTGGATGTGGGGGCCAGATTACACCCAAGAGAGTCACTGAAGGGTCAGCAGGAGAGCAAAAAAATAACCCACATTCCTGCCAAGAGGCTGCTAAGGAAAGGGAGGGACCCTAGTGTCTCGGCAGAGGTCAGGATCCAGGGTGGAACACAGCCCACAACCTAAGATTTTTTCAACAGATGAACTGGTTTTACTGACATTTTTGTATCTTCTTTTTCTTTTTCTTTTTTTTAATTCTTTGTCATAAGGGCTGGCTCTTTAGGAAAGACAAAAAGAAGGGGAAATTTAGGAGATGTAAGAGTGCAAGAGCGCAGAGTGGAGGAGGGCCTGGCCTCCTAGAGACCATACGTGCCCTGCCGGCAAGGGCTGTGTATCAGCATCAGAGTGTGCAATTTGTTTGAATGAATAAGTTGGTGAATCCTTAGCTGGAAGAGCCGCCTCCTCCGCTGACCTCCACACACAGCTGGCTTGATTACTCAGGTCTTAGCCCAGGGGTTTACCGTATTGGCGTTAGGAGGGCATTAGGAGGACCTTAGCGTTAACCCCCTACCTGTTGGTGATGCAACTTACACAGGGAGCTCACTACCTCCTCACGCAGATCTGTGAGAAATGTCTTTCTGGTATCGACTTAAAATCTATCTCCCAGAGACTTCACCCAACAGGTTCTGTTTCTGCCCACCAAGTCTGCCCAGAACCCATCTAAGCCTTCTGCCATCTGAGGCAGCTATAGTCCTCCTGGGCCCAACCCTTGGACTGGTCTTCTGGTGACCTGGTCTCAGGGTGCATCCCCAGGGCCTGCCTACCCAGCTCTGACCATTCTCCACCCAGTCCCAGGACAAAACAAAATGGTGCAGCTGCGGGCTGGGCAGGGCAGGGAAGACAACGGGACCATCTCCCCTCCCTTGTTCTCTCTCTGGCGATGCAACCTATGCTGACTCTTTGGCTGGCTTACTCTACTGTCTCACAGGGCCTGGAGGAGAAGCTGCGGGGACCTCAGGGGCCAGAGAATCCAACTCTCCTCATTTTACAGCTATGGAAACTGAGACTAAAAGGGATGAGTGACCTGCTAATCAGTGCCTGAGGCAGGATTTGAACTCAGGTACAGAGAGCTATCCCCACCTGCCACTAACTTTCAGCTTGCCTTGCATCTACCCTCTGTGTCTTCTATGGGCCCTGCTGGGCCTGGTGTCTTACACCGCAATACAAGCTTCCTGAGGGCAAGCACCAGGTTTCTGCTTTTTCTCGGTATCCCCAAAGCCTGGTATACCCAGTGGGAAGTGAATGCTGGCTCATGAACTTGTCTTGCAGGAGGCCGCCAGGAGCAGGCCCAAGCAGTGGCCTGTGCGTGCATCCTGGGATGGGGGAGTTTGCCGCTAAGACAATTCACATTTTGAACCCAAAGTGACAGACTGAGCAGCTGGTGCTCTGGGTTAGCACCTGCTGGTGGCCCACCGGCAAGGCTGGGAGGCATCAGGAAGGGGGTGACGCCATACTGTGCCCCTTTCCTAAGGCTGTGTTGGGCTGCCCTGCCCCCCTGCCACCTCCTCCACACCATCTCTGGGGCTGGGCAGCTCCCGTTCTGGCTAAGCAGAAGTGCCGGCTGTGAAATTATGACACCTTTTAGATGCTGGCCATCAAGAATGAGGGGTTCGACTCCCCCAACCTTCTCCATGTGAAAGAGGACAAGCAGTCCTGAGCAGCCACCCTGGCAGAAAGCTTGACTACTGAGAATCAACAGAGTCGATCCTGGGAAAAACTGGGAAGCAAGTGCTCGGTTTTCCGGGAGTTTCCACCCCCCGCCCTGGACCTGGCGCCCTCTGGCTGCCCCCAACCCTTTCCTTCTTCCCTTTTTTTTTTTTTTTTTTTAGGCAATTGGGGTTAAGTGACTCTCCCAAGGTCACACAGCTAGTAAGTGTCAAGTGTTTGGTCAGAGGCCAGATCTGAACTCAGGTCTTCCTGACTTCAGGGCCGGTGCTCTATCCACTGCGCCACCTAGCTGCCCCCCTCCCTTCCTCCCCATGGAACCATTTGTGTTTCCTTCGAGGTCAACAGGCCCACACTCCCCCCGGCAAATTCAAGCAAAGGCCTCAGTGGTCCATTTTCTCACTTCTAAGAACTCCCTACCTGTTTGCGTCTGCTCTCCTGGGCGTTCTGTGACCACAGCTGGAGGCACTTATGTAATAGGGCTTCCCTGGAAAACAAGAAGGAAACCCTTAAGACCATCTGGGGGACTTTGGAAGCACGAGCTCACCTCAGCTTAATCACCTGCTAACAGTAAGCCCAGCAAATGTCATCCTCATGCTCCGGGAAGGAAACTGAGAGACAGAGAGGGGAACCAACTTGTGAGTGAACACCAAGCCAGTGAGGGTCCGAGGCAGGACCTGAACCCAGGCCTCCCACCCTCCCTTGCCACCCCACAGTCGATCTCCCTTAAGAGAAAATCCAACTGAGAGGCACCAAGGTCCCTGCAGGAGGAGGTCATGCTTGGTTGTAGTTACTCTGACAGAAAATCCTCACTGTGGAGGAAAAGGAAAAGGGGAAATAGAGAACAGGAGCTTCTGGACAGTGGGGCCTCCTGTTCTCCAGGGGCCTGTCATCAGCCACATGGCCGGGGGCAGGCCCAGAGTTCCACCACCCCACTAAGGCATCTCGGTCTGCTCGTGATCCGCCACTGAGCCTCCGGATCTCAAAGCTCCCTCCCAGCTCAGAACCTTCAGGCTCAATCCAGTGATCACTTACAGATGAGATCAACAGCTGCCCCATACTGCCAAGCTAAAAAAAAAAAGCAACGTGCGACCTGGAAAGCTGAGAGTGTTCTCGAGGGAGGCCAAAATGGAGGAGGCGGGTGTCGTGATGGCACTTGTGCTGTGGGGCAGGAGGGTCCCCATGGCGCCTGACAGAAAGGAGTCAGCGGGGCCAGGGTCTGTTCTGGAGAGCAGTTTGGGACCAGGCCCAAAGGGCCGTCGATCTGTGCATGCCCTCTGACCCAGCACTACCACTCCTAGGTCTTTTCTTTCCCAAAGAAAAGGGAAAAGGACCCACACGGACAAAAATATTTAGGGCAGTTCTTTGTGTGGTGGCGTAGAACTGGAAATTGGGGGGATGCCCATCCACTGGGGAATGGCTGAACAAGCTGTGGGATCTGCTTGTGATGGAACACTACTGCGTTATGAGAAATGACAAGGGGGTAGTTTCAGAAAAACCTGGAAGTCTTATAAGGGCTGATGCTGAGTGAAGTGAGCAGAACCAGGAGATCTATGTAAACAGTAACAGCAACACCGCACGACGATCAACTGTGAATGACTTACTATTCTTAGCAATACAATGATCCGAGATTCTGAAGACCAAAGATGAGGAATGCCCTCTACCTCCAGAGAAAGAACTTACAGATCGAAGCACGTTACTTTTGCTGTTTTTTTTTAATTTTTCTTTATTTTTTTTAACATGGTTCTTTTTTAAGCCTGTGTTTTCTTTCACAATATGACTAATATGGAAATATATTTTGCATGACCGCATATGTATAACCTATATGTTTGCCTCTTGGCGGGGAAGGGAGAGGATTTGGAACTCAAAAATTTTAAAAACAAATGTTAAAAATTGTGTTTACATGTAACTGGAAAAAAATAAACTATAAACACCAAAAATACATTTGCTGTTTGCTTGGGATTTGTTTTTTACCTTTACCTTTCCATTCTTGATTATACATGGACTTAACGTGGTGTGATTTTTATACTTTTCTAAGACTTTTTTTGCATACAGAAATCCACAAATTAGAAAATAAAAACTCCCTGGTCTAGCCATGCGAAAAACAAGGCGGGGAGAGAGGCAGATGGTCTGGGCATGCACCAATTAATCTTTAAGATGAGAATCGACCAGATTTTATTTATTTATTTATTTTGAGTTATCAACAATCACTTCCATAAGCTTTTGAGTTTAAAATTTTTCTCCCCCACCATCCCCCAAGACGGCATGCAATCTGATATAGGCTCTACATATACATTCCTATTAAACATATTTTCACATTAGTCATGTTGTAAATAACAACCAACAAGAGGAACCACCAGAAAGAGAAAACAAAACAGAAGAAAAAAATAGCAAATAGTATGCTTTGGTCTGCATTCAGACTCCATGGTTCTTTCTCTGGACGCGAATAGCATTTTCCATCATGAGGTCTTTGGAGATGTCTTAGATCCTTGTATTGCTGGGAAGGGCTAAGTCTATCAATGCTAGTCATCGTACAACGTGGTTGTTACTGTGTACGACGTTCTCCTGGTTCTGCTCACTTCACTCAGTATCAGTACACACATGTCTTTCCAGGTTTTTCTGAAGTCTGCCTGCTCATCATTTCTTATAACACAGTAGTATTCCATTACATTCATATACCACAATTTGTTCAGCCATTCCCCAATGGATGAGCATCCCCTCAATTTCCAATTCTTTGCCATCACAAAAAGAGCTGCTATAAATATTTTTGTATGTGGGGATCCTTTTCCCATTTATTTTTTTGCAGTTTTTTTGGTTTGTTTTTGCTTTTTGGTGAGGCAATCGGGGTTAAGTGACTTGCCCAGGGTCACACAGTTAGTAAGTGTCAAGTGTCTGAGGTCACATTTGAACTCAGGTCCTCCTGACTCTAAGGCCAGAGCTCTATCCACTGTGCCACCTAGCTGCCCCTCCTTTTCCCATTTTTATGATCTCTTTGGGACACAGACCTAAAAGTGCTATTGCTAGGTCAAAGGGGATGCACAGTTTTGTAGCCTTTTGGCATAGTTCCAAATTGCTCTCCAAAATGGCTGGATCATTTCACAACTCCACCAACAATACATTGTGTTCTAATTTTCCCACATCTTTTTCAACATTTATCATTTTCCTGTTTTGTCATCTTAGCCAATCTGACAGGTGTGAGGTGGTACCTAAGTGTTGTTTTGATTTGCATTTCTCTAATCAATAGTGATCTAGAGCATTTTTTCACATGACTATAGATGGTTTTAATTTCTTCATCTGAGAACTGCCTGTTCATCATACCTTTGACCATTTATCAACTGGGGAATGACTTGTATTCTTATAAATTTGACTTAGTTCTCTATATATTTTAGAAATGAGGCCCTTATCAGAGACACTGGTAAAAATTCTTTCCCAGTTTTCTACTTCCCTCCTAATCTTGGCTGCATTGGCTTTGTGCAAAAACTTTTCAATTTAACGTAATAAAAATTACGCATTTTGCATTTCATAATGTTCTCTATCTCCTGTTTGGTCATGGATTCTTCTGGAGAATCAACCAAATTATACACAAACTGTCAGAGGTAGAAGGGACCTGGGAACCACCTAGCACAAACTCTGCATTCTACAGATGAGGAAACTGAGGCTCAGAGAGGGGAGGCGCCTGTCACCCAAGATCCTACAGTTAGCACTACTGATGTTGCAAACAACAGCTTCCCAGTCTATTCAAAAGAAACAGCCCCTGCGACAGGCTGTGCATCAGGCTGACACAGCTGGACAAAAATACCCGTGAAGAACATTCGACTCCCAGTGCTCCAATCTGACATTCATCAAACAACCTTTCAATCTGGGATTTGGTCACCCCAGTGGCCCCGCTGTGCAGCCAAATGAGGAGCGGTCTTGAGCAGACACAGCCCCAGCTGCCAGGCCAGCTGGACCCCATCTCCCTCCCTACCATTACCTCTCCCCCAAGAAATGAATAAATTAGCATTCTGGCTTACAAATCAATCTCTCGTGGGTTAATTAGTGTTAATGACACCCTGGTGGCATGTGTGAGGATGTGTGCGAGTGCACGTGCACGCACGCACTCACACACACACTCGCGCACACACATGGGTTTAGGGCTGGAAGAGGCCTAACCAAGCCTAACCCCTCATTTTACAGATGAAGAAACTAAGGCAGAGATGACTAAGGGACTCCCCAAGAGTCACAAAGCTAGGCAGTACGTCCCTAAGGTAGGATTCAGACTTAGGTCTTCCTGACCTCAAGTCCGGTGCTCTACCCACCACACCATACTGCCTCTAGGCCAACACACACCCAGCCCTGGGTGGAGCCAGCATACGTGCAGTGTTCCCAGGAGGCCTGCCCCCTCCAGGGAGCCCTCTGAAGATGGGAGCCAGCAAGGCCATGGAAGGCCTCGGGGTGACTACAGAGGAGCCCAGGCCCCCAGCCTGCATCCTCACCCACACTCCCTCTCCACTATGCCTTCCACTCTTGACTGAGCACAGGAGACCCCCTGGCGCTAGCCTGCCTTTCTCTATCCTCTTCCCCGGTGGAGGGAGCTATTTGTAGAATTCTTCCACTGAAGGGACGCATGCCCACCCAAAAGGAAGGCTCTGCTGAGGAAATCCCACCAGGAAGAAACAAAAACAACACTCCCACTGCATCCACTGCCGAGGTTTCAGCCCTTTCATGGCGAGCAGAGCCACGGCAATGCGTCGCCCACAACGACGTGGCTAAGGCAGCCCCACGAGGCTGGATCACTCCCTGACCAGAGTGGTTCTTCCTCAAGGGGGCCGAGGTACCTGCAGTGGCCATGAGCACGGAGCAGCTGGGGCAGCTGCCTCTCATCCTCTCTCTGTTCTGCTCGAGCACACCAGCGGCGCCAGAACCTCTGCACGAGCTGCAGAAGAGACAGCGACACGCGTGAGGGGATGTGGGGGACCCTCCTGTTGGCGCTCACAGTGACAGCTGCTCTCCGAGACTCACCCAGGAGAGGTGCCTCCCCCTCACAGCCCGCAGGTGTGACCACCCCATCTCACAGGTGAGCACACTGAGGCACCAAGGGGACACAGCCAAGATGTGTCCAGCACCCCTCCTGCCAATGGGACAGCGGAGAGGAAGCCTGCCCGCAGGAAACACCGGCATGAAGGCATGCTCCCAGCCCGGGCTGTGCTAAGGCCAGCCCACTTTGAGTCAAAGACATCCTCTCTGTCTCAGAAATCAGACTGTGGGCAGCCTCCCCCTTCCCATGAGCGGCGGCCTCCTTCTGCCACATTCTACCCACCGCTTCTCACAAAACCCTGCTGCTGGAGGCCAGAGGCTCGGCCGTCACAGCTGGGTCTAGAGCCCGAGGCCTTTAGGTTTAAGGTCTACAGTCTTTCTTCTGGGCCTCAGGGAACAATCCCACTAGGAGACCTTGCCTCTTGATAAGCAGTAACTATCTGGTCAGACAAGCAACAGCTGCTGGTTGTGGAGTGAATGCCTAATGAGAACACAGCTGATAACCACCTCAGAGACATGGAATTCCCCAATTTTCTTGGTCCTAACCTGTGGTCCCACAAAGCAAAAAAAAGGCATCAAGTATTGATTTCCATTGCAAATCCATTCCCAGAGCCTAAACACCTGAAGAACTACCCCAGAACCAAGGGAGACGTGGGTGGAAGCACAGAAGGGGGGCCTCACCACGGCTTGATACTGCCCATGAGCCAGATTCTTCCTTAAGCGGTGGAGACGGGAATTCTTCACGTTGTCCTTCAGGGCCCTGAAACAGCTGAACTAGGGAAACAGGAGGAGAAAGCCGGGTTCAGGGCAAAGCCTGGAGACCACACAGAGTCATCTGCCCAAAGAGGCCCCCGGACAGATGCCAGCGGCCTCCACAGCCCACAACTGCCATCACATCCTTCGCTGCTTCCGCAGCAGCTTGGGAGCCAGGTTGGCCCCTTGTGAGGGGCTGCTCACACCAGAGATACAGCCTGGAGCACAGAGAAGACACAGCTCCTGCCCTCATGAGGGCCCCGTCTAATAGGGGATACAACATATAACTAGAATAAAAAGGCAATCCCAAGGTTCCAGATGAGTCCCCTTTTGGTGAGTGGCAGCTGTGGATTCAGGGTCAGAATCCCAACTCAACTCAACACGCCCTGTGTAACCCATGGAAAGTCACTTCCCTTTTCTGGGGCTCAGTTTCTCCAGCTGTAAAATGAGGGGCCCGAAGGATCCCTAACACACCCTCTAGTTCTAAATCTCATGCTGTACACATAAGAAAGGGACAAAGTGCTCTCCAAGGTGTGAGGAGGAAAGGTCATTTCTGGGGGGAAGAGAGGGAATCACGGCCACTGAGCTGGGCCTGGAGGGGGTGGGGGTCAGAGGGTAAGAGGCCAGGATGGCGAGGAGTATGCATCAGGTAATGGTATCAGCACAGAGGAACTGAGACCAGAGAGGAGGAGACAAGTGCTGCGGCCTGAAAAGGCTAGACCAGGCTGGGGGAGGCCTCAGCAAAGGGCAGGCCAAGGGGTACTGGGATGCCCCTGAAGGCATTCACCCCACAATAGTGTGAAGGGTGAATTCAAGGGAAAAGGAAAGAGAAGGGTCAGAGAAGATGTCCTATCAGGAGGGTGGCTGGCCTCTCGAAGGGATGGGCCACTCTGCTTGTTAAATGAGGCTATTAACCCCCACCTCTATGTGGCAGGGAAACCTGTGGCCACAACGAGAAGACTCCACATTCTGAAATCAGAAAACGAAACCCCTGCCGCTCACAGACCCATTCCTTGGCTGACACTCAGCAGAGACACAACTTTCCTGCTTCACAGCTCTGCCTGGTCCTGGCACCACAACCAGCTAAAGGGCCAGAAGAAAATGAGGCTCCTGGGCCCCACCGGCCCAAGAGCAAACTGTGGGGGTGGAAGCCACGAAAGGAACAGAAATGTGGCTGAGCCACCAGAAAGGAGTCCAGGCTGGCGAGAGACCCCGAAAGCGTCGCTAAGAAAATAAGAGGAGCTTCCTATTCAAAGATTCCCATTATTTGTGACCACGAGAAAACGGCCATCAGCAACCGACCCCCACCAGCAGCCCGACTGCTGAGTTAAGTGGGGGCACATTAACATAACAGATCCTCTACCGCAGTGAAGTCTGACCGGGACGAGAGGCAGAGGAACTGGACAGACCTTTAGGAAACTACGGGCGGCAGAAGGGCGCAGACTTCCTATTGCACCCATCAGCGACTGCCTTTAACTTGGAGACTCAATGACATGCCCAGACTCACACAGCTGGCAGAAGCCAGAAGCAGGCCTTCATAACAACAGCGGGCATGTACACAGCGCTTTACTGTACCAAGGGTTTGCCAGGAGTTACTGTGATACATGAAGGGGCTGGGGTCAACGGCACGCTTCTTCTCCTGGCCCTCGAGGCCCCCCAGCCTGGCCCGGCCCTCCCATCCCTTCCCAATGCCTGCCCTACGCTCCAGTTTTCCCCAGCACATCCAACGCTCCTCCAAGCTTGTGAGGTAAGGGTTACTACTGTCCTCATTTTACAGATAAAGAAACTAAGGCAGACAGCGTATCACAAGGGAGGGTATGGAGAGACAAGAGGAAATGGAGTGAGGGGGAGATGCCAGCGGCTCAGCTGGGGAAGTTAAATTTGGGAACAGCTGCTGTGGAGAGCGGCACAGACTGGGTCAGACACACTCGTGAGGGGTCAGGAACCAGATGAAGGTGTGACTGGAAAATATTTAACAAAATAAATAGCAATACCATTGCACCTGGATCATATTAGTAGTGAAAGGCTTACAGTGCAAGGGTGAGGGCCCCACTGAGATCACATCCAAGCAGCAGCGTCAGGAGTGCATGAGGCAGCGCCTGAGCTGCAATGGGACAAGGGAAGTGAGGGTTCGAGAACAGAGCTGGGGCAGGGTTGAGCTGCTTCACTAGACAAAGACCTGGGGGCTCGATGAGGATGAAGAATAGCCCAGGGAGGGGCAGCTAGGTGGCACAGTGGATAGAGCTCCGGCCTTGAAGTCAGGAGGACCTGAGTTCAAATCTGGCCTCAGACACTTGACACTCACTAGCTATGTGACCCTGGGCAAGTCACTTAACCCGGTTGCCCCATCCGGGAAAAAAAAAAAAAAGAATAGCCCAAAAAGGGGTGAGGTAGAGGAAGAGAGAATGACAGAAGACTGATAAGTTTCTCGATCACGTCAGTGGAGCGTTTGTGGGGCGCTGGCAAGAGATTGCGCCTGCATGTAGCTGAGGGGAGCACAGGAAGCAGGATCGATGAAATGGGAATTTAGGGTATCTGAGGGAGCACTGGAGTCAGGTAGAGACCACAACTCAACTAGCCCACTGAGAAAGGGGGCAGAACGTCCTGGGAGCAGGCGGGGCAGAATGTGACGTAAAAACAAGAGATGTCAATTAAAAAGTTTTCAAAAAGTAACAATGACTGTGGAGAAAGCAGAAGCCGGAGCCATGCCCACAATGCCGTGGTATGGCAGCGAGGCGGATGGAAGCATGCTCGCCAATGAAAACAGACAGTCACCAATTACAATAACCATGCTCGGCCCCAAAGAAGACACGCCACAGTGGCCCTCTCTCCCTTCTCGGGGGAGTTGAGGAGCTGTGGACGCGGGATGCTGCATACATGGTGGGGCCGGACAGATGGCGAGGGCAGTTTGGCCTTCCTTTCTCTGTTTTTTCCTATAAAGGGCAGCGCTCTGGGAGGGGGAGAGGAGAAGGATGTACTGGAAAATATAGGAGAGGCAAAGACAAAAGAGAGAAACGACACATTTTTAATTAACCTAATGACTTACTGTGATTAACACTGAAGCTCCATAGGAAGCTTTTCATTTGTACTGCCAGCCTCTTTTCTATCACTTTCCTTCCCCTCCCCGCTGAGTCATTCCTTGTAACAAAGAATTAGAAACAGCTTAGCTAAACAGAGGCCACGAGGCTGTGGGACCTCCAGTCCTGGGCCCTCACCTTTGCACAGCAGGGCGAGGAGAGGTGAGGCGGCTGCCCTGCCCTGGGGCCTCCCTGGGTCATTAAAAGAACAAAGTGTTCAGTGGCTTGGTCTGTCTCATTTTCTTACGAAATTGAGGAATGAGCTGCAGGTGGAAGGGGCCCCGGTGAGGCTCCAAGGAAGACTTCTCATACCATCACTGACAACAGCACAGGGGAGAATGCCTCCTCTGGCCTTGGCCAAGACCTTGTGCTCCCACCACCCCTACCCCGGGGTGGGCAGGGAGGGCTCTTACCACCAGCCGCTGCCGATGGTGCTTCTCTGCCACGTCCTGGAAGGCAGCGTCCTCCACAGAAATCAGCACGTCTGTCATGAAGTTAAAGACACTTGTCTTAAGTGGACCCCCTGCCCCTCAGGGTTTGTGTCTGCCAATGCGGGGCAAGCAGACACCTGGGGTAAGATGCTGCCAATTCGTGGAACGTTCTTAATCAGAATGCACCAGAGCCAGAACTGGCAGGGCCACCAACTGGACACCTGAGTCCTTACACTGAGCCATGGGGTTCTCTGAGCCCCACACGCACGGACGGCAGCACCTGAGATGCCTTGTGCACAGCACCGCTGTGGACACTCCCTGTGATGCGCTGGCGTCCACGGGAGCCTGGCAGAGGTTCACAGGCTAAGAGCTAGAAGGGGCCTGGAGACCACCGAACCACCCTCCCACCTCATACAGGAGACTGGCCCAGGGTCACCCAGTCAGTGAGAATTTATGGGAAGGCTGAACACAAGTCAGCTCCGATGGGTCTGCACCCTCAACCCCTGAGATGCCAGGGCACTCGCGGGAGTCCGTGGCTAGCTTCTCAGGTATGGCTCCTCCTCAGAGGTAAGGACAACACGTCAGATTTCTCTCCCTGGATAGCACGTGACACACAACAGACTCTCAGCAGAAGGCAGGGATTGAATATTGGAAAGAGCTGGTTTTAAAGTCAAAAAACCATGAGTTTGAGTACTACGTCCCCCACTTCCTGGAGAGCCCTGAGCCAGCGCCTTCATCTCCCTGAGCCTCAATCTTCTCATCTGTAAAATGGAGACAGTAATGGCTTCAAGGTTCCCAACACAAGCAGCAAGCAGAAGCATCATTGTTCCATTTTGTGGATGAGGAAACGAAGGCTCAGGAAGTCACGTCATTCGTCCACAGGCCCCCAGCCCTGAGGAATCACCCTGTCCCTTGGGTGACTGTCCCACAGAGCCGGCCACAGCTGGGCTGACTTCCAGACGCCCTTGTCTCATCCTCCCTCTCCTGGCCCAGGACAGCTGACTGGGAAGGATACAGCGTTTCCAGCGCTCGAAGGCCTGCCGCAGGGTGATCCGGGCCGCCAGTGCCTTGATCCGCGCCTGGTGCGCACGAAGGAGCTTCCTCTGCTCCCAGGCCACCCGCCAGACCGAGAAGCTGGTCCGGGCCATGATGGCACAGTGGAATTCTCCAGCCAACTCTAGAGAGAAGCACCCAGGAGGGTTCCATCCGCCCGGCAGGCTTTCAGGAAAGCCCACCAGGGACAAGGGGGCAGGACCAGGAGCCCCCGCCCCCTCCAAGCTTTAATCATGGGGTCACAGTGGCTTCAACAAAGGAAAATGTCAGTGGCTTAGAAGTAGAAGACTGGCAGGAGGACCACCCTCCAGCTGGGTAAACAAGCCTGGGTGAGCCTCTGACTATGGATGGACAAGCGCCCAGGTTCTGCTGTCTCACAGGGGTCTGTTTCTCCTCCCTATACCCAGGATGCTGACATTAGGGCTGTGAGCGTAACACTGACCCGCAGAGTCAGGCTGGACAAACCTTTGTGGGGCCTGCAGCTAGGCTCCCTGCTGTGACTGTCCTAAAATAAGCTGACTGGGGCTGACAAACCGGGGCTCCCCAGGCCCTTTCCCATCCAAGGATGATGTAATAAGCCCCATTTCCTGGATGGCTAGCCCACACCACTCAGTACTGGGAGTGGGGTCGGGAGGGGGGCCTTCTGATGACAGGCAGGGGCTAGGGCCAACACCAGGACACCAGAGGCCCACATCTAACCGCACAGAGACACATCACTGACATGGCACCTCAAAGATTCTGGAGGTCCTTTATACCAGGGTCCATGCCAGAAGGGGTGTATCCGTCAGGAACACGAGGCTCACACAGCCTCCCCTCCTCCACATGTTTCTCAGACATGCACAAGATATCTTCACAAAGTGACCTCAGGCTCCCTCCCCCCAACCCCCAAGCCACCCCCATGAGTAATGGCCTTCCTCCTCAGATCTCTCACACGCCTATCAATCACCATGATGTATTACAGTAACCTCTGTGTCTTATCGCCCACACTAGGCAGGAAACTCTGAGACCCTTTCTCTTCCAAACTATACTCCCTCTGCACCATAAGTATTAATGAATACTGAATGAACGCACGCATGATAGGATCCCAGCTTTAGAGCCAGAAGGGGCCTCAGAAGCCAGAGTCCAACCTCATCATTTCAAAGTGAGAAAACGGGCGCCCTGAGGAGGTCACCTGGGCAGTGAGTGACAGAGCGAGCGTTTGGACGGAGGGCCTCTCCCTCTGCAGCGGACACCCTGCCCGCTGCACCCCTGTGTAGACCAAGCCCTCATGCCTACAAGCCCTAGCCGCAGGCATGGTCTCCTAAAGAGCTGCTGTCATCGAAGGCAATGACACAATGTCTGAGGAAAGGCCCAAAACAGGCAAGAACGGCCCCGTCACGCAGAGCGCTCCTGTTTTGAGGCCGGAGCCTCCCCTGCCCTCCCCACTCACGTGCCTGGCGTCGCTTCTCTCTGCGGCCCTGCAGGTAGCCCCTCCACGCCGTCAGGGCCCTCCGTCGTTCTTGGTGCACGTAATGCCCTGCTGCCTCGGTTTCCTTCTTCCTAATGATCTGGACATGAAGAAACTGCTCCTGCCACCGAGACCATGCCTGGAAACCAGAGGGAAAAGTCAGACCAAAGGGGATGGCCAAGGAGAAGGTAAAGGGTGGAGAGAGGGCCCACGGGGACAGAGAGCGGGCCTGAAGAACGTGAAACCCACGAGAACTGGCCACGCTCCCCTGGGCCTGGGAGTCCAGCTGACGAGCACGCTAAAGGAGGCCTGGGGAATTCAGGCATTTGAATCTCTCCGAGACAAGGAACAAGCCCAGTCCGTGAGCGTTTCTTATGAATAAGCACCTACTGCATGCCAGGCACTGGGGTGGCCCCGGGCCCCCAGGAGTTCCCTGTCTATGACAGGACAGAGGGCTCTCCGTCTCCTCTCTTCTGGGCCTTCCACCCTACCCGAGGGGTCTGAGGTCAAGCCACAGCGCCACCTGGCGGCCTGCGCGCAGAACACAGAGGACGGGGACGGGAGCCCGGGGATGGGACCCAACTGTCTGATGGGAAAAGAACGAATGAGGAGAGCCCGCAGGTCAGTCCAGAAATGGGAGCAGTGAGTCACCCATCACGAGAGAGCCTGTGGAGGAGGCTGGATGGGACAGAAGCATGGCGGGGCCGTGGGGGGCCATGGACCTCTCCCCATCTTGAGCAGAGCCTGAGCCTGGAGGAGGAAAGGCAGGGGGTGAAGGGTCTTCAGTCTGGCATCTGCGCTCTGCCTCGCTTTTGGTGGCCTGGGTGATGGGGAGCCACAGAAAGGAAACAGGGAGAGATGGATGAAGAGTCATCGAGTACCCACATCCCTTGTGCATCCATCCCCTGTCCTCTGGCCCACGACTCTCAGCCTCTCCTGCCTCCATCCATCCGTCCGAGGGGACTGAAGCAGCCCCCCAGGGCCAATGCGGTGGATGAAGTCTGGCTGTGCATTCTGCCAAGCCATCAGGCCCCTGCAGCTGATGCAGCTTTGTGGCCTAGGCCCACAGTGGCGTCCAAGGAATCCGCAGTCTGAAACGCGTCCCAGACTTGCTCAAAGTACCCCGACAGGACAAGGCATGCCTTGAGAGCTCTGGGGAAATGAGCCATTTTTAGGGGGCTCTGTGATGCTGTCGCAGCAGGAGGCATCTTTAAGAAAAGGCCTCTCCCCTAGGAGACAACTCTGACTCGGGGAGCCCAGCAGAGGGTGCAGGTGGTGTCAGCAGCCAGGCCACACCCCCATCTCCTCCTGACAGAATGAGAACAAGAAAAACTAAGGTTCAAGCTGAGAATCTCTACTTCTTCCAGGCCACCCATTCTGCTACAGAGCCCAGCTCCTGATGGTATTAACGGAAGGGAAGGAGCACTGATGAAGCCCCTACTATGTGCGAAGCCCTTTGACAAGCATTTTCTCATCTGACCCTGACAACAATCCTGGGAGGTAGGTCTCTGCTCCATTTTAAAGATGAGGAAACTGAGGCAAATTGAGGTAAAGTGACTTGCCTACAGTCACATGGCCGGGAGGTGTCTGAGGCCGGATCTGGCCCCAGCACTCTGTCTGCTGCTCCACCTGCTGCCTCGAGCTCAGCATGAGCTGTCTGTGATCATTGTGGGTCCGAGTGCCTTCCCAGGATTCCTCTCCTCTTCTGACTCTCTTCCTGCAAGATGAGGAAACGGGGGCTCTCTCTGCCATGCCCCATGGCTGCCAGCGGCCTCCAGTGCCTGAGTGAGAAGGCAGGACAACTCATTCTCGCTCTGAGAACTCACGAACACCCGTGGAAAGGCAAACATCCTCATCTCCCCTTCCCGGGCTCTCGCCTCTGGGGGGAATCTGCCACAGAAGCGGGCTGTGCTGAGGCCGGCCACAACCTTACAAGACTTTCCAGCAACATCCTCCCTCTAGTAGAGAATCCCTCCTCCTCCTGGGGACTCACGACCCACTGAATAGGGAACAGGAGGGAGGGCGCCGTCCATCTCCCGCTCTTAGCGTCCCTGGAGGGAAGGCAGCCGGGGGCCGGGCACACCCTCCATGCCCCCAGCCTGCAGGACTGGCATGTCCCGCTGCACTAGCCTCATCTCCAGCCTCCGATGAGAAGAGGCCTGCGGCTGTGGCCCGGCGGGGAAGGCCACAGTGGGCAGGGTGGAGGAAAAAGGAGGGACTTCCCTCTGACTGAGGACGCCCACCTCTGGCTGCGCTGTGCCCTGAGGCAAGAAGAGGACAGTCGGTGGGCAGCGGCATCTCCATCTCTCCTGCTTTGCCACGTCCTGTTTAATCAACAGCCCTTGAAGGGAAGATGAGACGTGAAACGGGGCCTCCTACATGGCTACAGACCTGGCCACGCTCTGCGTGTCTCTTGCTCAATCTCCAGGCTCCTCAGGAAGAGGAGGGCGGCCTCCTCTCCACGGTCGGCACACTCACCCCTGATCGTCTCCTACACCTCCTCATTCCTGGCTACTTCAACCATCCCAGCCCAAAGGCCCAATCAAAAGCGATGCACCCCCTCCACTGTGTCCCCCAGAGGGCCCCTTCCACAGGCCACAAATCTGCTTCATCTTCCATCTCTCCACCTCTTCCTTCCATCTTGTAGCCATTCCCAAGCCCTGATTTCCCCTGATGACACGGTCTCCCTGGACGCCCCTTTCAGTGCTGGCTGCACCTTCACTGGCTTGGAGTCAATGGCTCAGAGGAGGAATCCTCTGCGTTCCCCACAGACCCTTCCAGGTTCGTCTCCTCCCTCCATCACTCAGCAATCTCTCTTCCTTTGAGGTCCATGCGATCCACATCTCTCACCCAATCAAATGCACCCTGGCTGCTGTTCCCTACAGACCCTCAGGTCCCTTCCTTTCTCCTCTGTAACTCTGGCCTTCATACTCGGGGCCTTCCACATACATAGTGACTCTCCAACACCCCAAGTTCCTCAGCCTCCTCCTCTCCCTTGACCTGCACCAGAGCCACACACAAAGATGGTCAAACCTTCACCAACTCATCCAACCTGCTCTCACCGGCAAATGTATCCTCCCCGCGGTGAAGAATTCTGAAACCCCTCATCTGACAAGTAATCGATTGGTTTTCCACCCCTCCCCTGCCTTCCCTTACCAATCCCTGCTCTTCAGCCACAGCCCAACTCCACACTGGCCACTCTCTCCCCTTTTTACCATCTTGACCTCGTGGTAAACCAGTTCAACTCTACACTGTCTTCTTATGGAGGCCCTGGCCACCTTACCCATTGACTATTGGGCTCTGCCAAGCCTCAGACCTCATCACACCCACCATTTATCACCCTGCCTCCTACGCACGTGCTGCTGCATGAAGGTGGAGAAAATCACACAACCCTTTAAACTGGATCCACAACTTCATCTGGGCCCTCACAAAGGCAACCCTTCTACACTCCCCTTATCAGCTCCCTCTTCCCCTTTCCACAACGGCTCTTCCGAACCTTTCCATCCCTCCTTAAATCTCCCACGGCTCCCCCAGCCCCGGCTCTCAGCTCCCCGAGAGCTCCCTCTTCTTCAAGATGCCTTCTGCCCCTCTCTCCTCTCTCTCACAGAGGCAGGCTACGCCTTGCCAGGGCAAAGCCTCCACCTACAGAAGTCTGCCCCTTCCTCCTGTCTCTCTGTCATCTCCACTCCAAAATCTCTCCCTGGCTCCTGGCTCCTTCCTCACTCCATGCACACGCACGCATTTCCGTCCTCCTCACAAACCCTCCTTTGAGTCTTCCGGCCCACTTATCATCTTCTGTCTCTTCTGCCCTTTGTGGCAGAACTCCTAAAAAAGGCTGCCTACAACAGGGGCTGCTGCTTCCTCTCCTCTCACTCTCTTCTTCACCTTCCCCCAAACGGTTCTCTCCCAAGTTCCCGAGGATCTCTTAGCCGCCAAGTCCAGTGGGCTTTCCTCAGTCCTCATTCTTCCCGGCCTCCCTGCAGCCTCTGATGCCATCAACCGCCTTGTCTCTTGGATCCTCTCTTCTCTCTAGGTTTACAGGACACCGTCTCTCCTGGCTGTCCTCTCTGACATGGGCTCCTTCTCCGTCCTCTTAGCTGGATCCTCCTTCAGATCACGCCTTCTCACCGTAGATGTCCTTCAGAGCTCCCTTCTCTTCTCTTCTCTCCCTCTATGGTTTCACTGGGCGATCTCACCAGCTCCCATGGATTCAGTGACCATCTCTGCGCTGATGATTCTCAAATCTGCCTGTCCTGACTCGATCTCTCTGCTGACCTCCAGTCTCTTATCTGCTCACTGCGCTCTGCATCGGGTCTGAGGTCTCCGACCACAGTGGTGCAGCCGCCATTCCCCGACGGGAGGGGAGCCGCTGCTTCTCCAGTTTCTGCGCAGACAGCTCCCTTTGCTCTTTCTCCAGATGCTCTGAGGCCGAGGCTGCAGAGCAGAACTGCTGAATGGAGCACGAGGCAGCTTGGTCACTTTGCCGTCATAGTTCCAGACTGCTCCCGGACTGGCTGGACCCATTCACCCTTCCATCCACGGTGCGTTAAGGGGCCGTTTTCTCAAAGCCCCTCTGATATTTGTCAACTTTTGCTGGCTCTGGGGGTGAGGTATAATTTCATCATTACTCTGACTTATGTTTCTAACTGTGTTGTTCTAATTAATTCTCATCCCTAATTTTTAGTAATTTGGAATATCTTTTTCACATAATGGTTGACAGTTTGGAATTCTTCCTTCATAAATGCTTGTTCAGAATCCTTTGACATCTCCCTCATCATCCCCCTCTCCCACTCGCCCTAGAGGCTCTCTCAAACCTCCAATCTCCCATGGCTCCTCCTGCCCCATCCTCCCAGCTGAGAATCTGGCCTCATATTCTACTGAAAAAATAGAGGCCTTTCACCGAAGGCTCCTATCACTTAGATGCCTTCTGCCCCTCTCTCCTCCTTCACCTCTGGCACAGGAAGAGGTGGCCTTCCTCCTTATCCAGGCTAACCCCCCTCTACCCACACAAGTGATGCCACTCCCTCCCTCCCACAGACTGCCCCCTCTCCTTCTCAGTCCCCTCTCTTTTCTTCAATCTCTCCCTCTTCACTGGCTCCTTCCTTCCTGCCTACAAACCCGCCCAAGCCTCCCCCATCCTGAACAAACTCTCACGTGATCCTTCCATCCCCATCGTCCTATGTCTCCTCTGCCCTTTGTGGCTAAACTCCTCTAGAAGGCATCTACACCAGGGTCTCCACTTTCCTCTCACTCTCTTTTTCACCCCCGACGATCTGGTTTCCGATCTCATCATTTTCCCCAAACTGCTGTCTCCTAAGTGACCAAGGAATGATGTCTTAGGGGCCAGATCCAGTGGCCTCTTCTCCCTGACCTCTCTGCAGCCTCTGACGCTGTCCATCACTCTCTCCTCCCAGATCCTTCAGGATGCCGTCCCTCCTGGTTCTCCTCCCCCGTCTCTGCCTCCTTTGCCGGATCCTCCTCCAGGTCAGATCCTCTGACCAGAGCTGCCCCTCAGGGCTCTGTCCTGGGCCCTCTTCTCTTCCCCATCTCCATTACTTCACTGGGTGATCTCCCTGGCTCCTATGGCTTTACGATTTTCAAATCCACCTTTGCAGACCCAGCCTCTCAGCCTATGACCACCTGCCCTTCAGATATTTCAAACTCAGTATGTCTAATACAGAACTCGTTATCTTTCCCCCTACACTCGCCCCCAGCTCCATCTTCCTCAGGGCACCACTTCCTCCCAATCCCCAGGATCCCAACCCCGGAGTCGTCTGGGACGCCTCACTCTCTCTCACTCCCAGATCTAAGCTGTTGCCCCCTTCTCTCCTCTGACCCTGCCTCTACTCTGGTGCAGGCCCTCACCCCTTCATAGCTGAAGTCTACAACAGCTGCTGGGGGAGAGGGGGTCTGTCTGTCTGCCTCTATTCTCTCCCCGCTCCAATCCATCCTCCATTCAGGCACCCAAGGGATTTTTCTAAAGTGCAGTCATGTCACCCCCTCAACAAGATCTCGAGGCTCCCTATGGCCTTCAAAGCCCTCCACAACCTGGCCCCTCCTCCCTTCCAGCCTTCTCACACCTCACTTCCCAAAATCCTTTGATCCAGTGCTCCCGGCCTCCCAGCTGTTGCATGAACAAAACCCTCCATCTCTCAGCTCCGGACATTTTCTCTGGCCAGCCCCCAAGACTGGACCACTCTCCTCCACTGTGACCAGTGGCCTCCCTGCCTCCTTTAAGTCCCAACTAAATCCCACCTTTTACAGGAAGTCTTCCCCACTCCCTCAATGCCAGTCTTCTCTCTGCTAATTATTCCCTACTTATCCTGTCTAGAGCCAGCTCTGTACACATTTGTTTGCTTATTGTCTCCCCATCAGACTGTGCGCTTTCTGAGGGCAGGGACTCTTTTCTGCCTCTTGTTGTATCCCCAGCACTTAGCACAGTGCCTGGCACATAGTAGGCGCTTCATAAATGCTTACTGGATGACAAACTGCCCGAGGGGAACAGTTGTTTGTTTTATACACTGGAATCAGTTCATTCTATAGCTTGAATATGCAACCTTTACCAGAGAAACCTGTGCAAAGATTTTCTCCTGCTTTCTTCTAGTTAGATTTCTTTGTGCAAAAACATCTAAACTGTATATTATTAAGACAGTCTCTGTGATATTCTTTCTCGTTTCTTTAGGCACGAACTCTTATTAAGAGCTGTTAAAAAAATGAGATTTCTCCATCAGGAAGCTGGTGGGGCATCAGCTGGATGGGTCAGAGAGGGAGACAGCAGGTGAGGGAAGTGTGCCAGCAGTGATTGCCCAGGTGGGAGGCACCAAGGGCCCGGGCTGGTGGTGGCAGTGGGAGGGCAAAGGAGAGGAAGGACATGAACCCATTTGTGGAGGGAGAAAAGGACTTGCCAAGGATTGATGGTGGAGATGGAGGGAAAGGCCACCCAGGTCAAAGATGACCCAGAAGTCCTACCTGCCCTTGGGTGATGGGCTGAATCAGCTAGAAAACACAGATTGATCATTCGAGACAACGCGTGGGGCTATAACCAAGCCGAGGCTTACCCAGAATTGCAGGCTGACACCCCAGTGCTGCAGCGCCACAGTGTCCATCACGCGGCCCATGTGGCTCTTCTGCACCTGCCGCCTCCACACTCTCCAAGGCACTCTGGATCAAAGAGAATCTCATAAGGACAGCCCATCACCCGAGAAAAAGAAAGGGGGAGGAAGTGGCGGAGGTGAGGCATCTCGGCTCCGTGCCCCTCCCACACCTTGGCCACGTGGCCCACATGAGCGGCATCTGCACGGGGCTGTGTCCACCAGAGGTTCTTGGGGACCCGCTGAAGGAAGCTGCAAGAAGGATGTCAGCTCTCCTCCAGGAAGACAACAGCTGCCACGTGTGCAGGAAATGCCCACAGCAGGAGCCGGGGCCTGGCCGCGGGCTCTGTCAACGTGGAGGAACATGGCAGCTAGGAGTCGGGCAGCGTGCTGGGTCTGGAGCTGGGAGCAAAGGCAGTGTAAGACTGCTGTTCGGGGTGAAGGGACGGTCCTAAAAGACGGCAGGGAGAACCGCTCGGGCAAGGACAATGCCTTACACACAGTAGGCATATAATAAGTGCCTCCAGACTGGAACTGGACAGAAGAAAAATGACCACAAAGGATGTGGCAGCCCCGCAGATCCTTCTGAACCCCGAAGCCACGGCCCAGACAAGCACCCCCCAAGGACGGTGAGAGAACCGATGGACTATGGACTAGACGACGGGCCACGGCCCTGATTTCTCAAAGAGAAAGAGCAGCAGCCATAAACTCAAGGACTCTGGAGCGCACTGTTAAAGGGATGGCTCCTAGAAGCAGCGATCACAAAGAGCCAGCAGACTCGAAAGCCAGGCAGACCGCACAAGGCGCATTTCATCTTCTGACGAGGTCACAGAACAACTGAGCTGCATTTAATACAGTCACTGCGGCTACAATCATGGAAAAGAGGGAGAGGCGTGGCCTGGGCCTGTGGATGAGATCGGGGCTCCAGAGCTGGCCAATAGCCAGACCCAGGGGCTCGGCAGCACTCCACCGCAGCCAGGAGGACGTCTCCAGCAGGAGCACTACCAGGCTGGGGCCTAGGCCTGGCCCGTTTCAGATTTTTATCGAGGTCTAGATGCCACAATTATCCAATTTGCCAAGGACACAAAGCTCAGAGAGAGACCAGCTGGGATGGCTGAATCAGGACTCAACAGAAGTTTAACAGGCCAGACTACTGGGCTAAGTTGAATAAGATCACATGCAGACAGGGTAAATACAAAGGCTTCCTGTATGCTGGGGTTTTAAAGACAACGTGACAAGTATGAGACAAGAAGATGAACCAAGGGAGCCACCTGTAAGAAAAAGATCTGGGGGTCTCAGAGAACTTCAAAATCAATAAGCCAACAGAAGGAAACGGCTGCAAAGTTAACACAAGCTTGGACTGCAGTAAGACAGGCACTGTGTCCAGCCTGTGCTCAGGTCTGGGCTGTCCATTTTAGGAAGGACATCAATAAACTGGAGAGCATTCAAAGGATGGCTACCAGGACAGTGAAAGGCCTGGAGCCCATGTCCTACGAGACACACTAAAGGGGCTGGGGATGTCTAGGCTGAAGAAAAGAAGACTCTGGGGCACAATTACCCAAAGGCTTCTCCTACAAAAAGGGCTTTGGGTTTGCTCTGTCCGTCCCTCGAGGGCAGAACGAGGAGCAATGGGGGGGGGGAGGCAGCACAAAGGCATGACCCAGTTGCATGTCTGGGAGCACTTCCTAACGGGAACCATCCCCAAGTGACATGGGCGGTTCCAGGGGGAAGGGTCTGGGCACCCCCCACCCCGGGAGGGATAGCCGAGAGGAGAGTCTGTCCAGAGGCAGGTTCAAAGGCTCCCGGACTGGGAGCTGGTCTTCTGTTCCAGCCTTGTGGGCCTCCTCCTGACCCCACCCAGGGTCATCTAACAAGGAGGCACAAAGGGAGTGGGAGGGGACCCACCCCTCCACCCCCATTCTCTCCTAGGCACAGAGCGGGCAGCCACGGCCTCCCGCGCCCCCTCGCACTCTGAGCCACTGCCATCGATTCTAGGACAGGCTTAATCGCAGCTCTGCTCCTTAAGAGCCAGGTCACCTCATGCAAGAGACTGGGCCCTCTACGTAAAGCAGCAGAGCCAGTCCAGATAGCCCTACACCCCAGGATTAGATGGTACAGAAAAGGGGAAGAGAGAAGCCCCTGGTGTCTGAGGAGAGACCCTGTGTCTTATGCCCTCCAACATAATGGTTTATGGACTCATGCACACACGCACGCACACGCGCACACACACACAGTCCCATAACCATCCACTGAGCCTACGAGGTAAAAGGCTTGCTCAGGGAGGCCAGCGTTGGCCGGGACCCCCAGTCATGGCCAGCCACGGGGACTGCCCCAAGCACGTCCCAGAAGGTACGCATGCTCACAGACACTCACCGGAGAATACTCTGCTGCCTGAATTCCTGCGCCAAGGTGCGCATCTCACGTTTGGTCCGACGAACGTCGACATAGATGAGCCAGTGTTTCCAGACTGGCCACAGCTTCTGCTTGGCCGCTGAGCCCCGAGATGAGACGAGTGAAAGGAAAAGAGAGAGATGGTGAGAACCGCGGCTGGGCTACTGTCCATATTGTCCCTGCAGGGAAAGGAGTCACCAGGGAGGAGCCAGAGGAGAAAAGCCAGACAGACCAAGCGTGTGGGTCAGACGAGGGGGAGCTTCCCTCTCATTTACAGGACAGGAAACACCCTTAACCAAAGCCCACCAGCTCCCAGGTTCCACCTGGCCCAGGGCACATGCCAGGGTCACACAGCCCAGGTAAGTCTAACCTATCCCTAATTCTGAGGTGCCTCTGTGATTAAGCCTAATTCTAAACCTAATCCAGAAAATGACCCACATGTACAACAATACTTCTAGCAGCTATTTTTGGGGTGGCAAACAAGTAGATACCGAGGGGATGCCCATCCACTGGGGAACAGCTGAATAAATTATGGTCTAGGAAGAACGATGCTCACCTCCTAACAGAGAGATGAATCTGAGATACAAAAGGAGACACAATTTTGGATACTGCCAACGAGTAATGTGTTTTGCTTGAATATGCACTTATGTTCCAAGGGTTTGTTTTTGTTTTATTTTCAGTGGGGGATAGAGAGAAAAGAAATGGTTCTTAATTAAAAATAAAAGAAAAATTTAAAAGACAAAAAACTGAGATCCAGAGAGTTTAGCAGAAAATTTTAGTTACATGATTACTGAGTCAGTGGCCAGACTCAAACCGTGTTCTTCATGGAATCCTGGATCTGGGGCCAGAAGGGAGCTCCAGGCCCATTTGTCCCACCTTATGGGCCTGGTAGGGGTACTGTGGGATCAAAGGCTATGCCAGTTTAGTGACTTTTTACAGCCGGTTCCAAATTGTTTTCATTCATTCCCTCCTTCAGGTATCCACCCAACACACAACACACAGCTCCCTGAAGAGGACATTAGGGAGATCCCAAGGTTCCAAGTCCAGAGAGCTTCTGCTAGCTTACACTGCCCCACCTCAGATCTGCTAACACTCGCCTACACGCATCATGCGCATCAGAAACAGTCCCAGAGAGTCAGGAGACTTCCTCTTTGCCCACACTTTCTGCCCAAGGCCGCCTCCTTCTGAGACCCGCTATCCTCATCTTCTGGTCTCTTACCGTGATACTCTGCTCTGCGGTATTTCCTCTTCTTGTCTCGTCGCTGACGAACATAGGTCTGCCAGGCTTGGAACATTAGGTTGTACAAGGAATATCTAATTAGCCAAAAGAGTCAAGAACCTTCTGTCAGAAAACAGCCGGGCCTGCCTATATGACCAGAGTCCTCCCACACCACATCGTTGGTGCCGCTAATCTGTTGAGACTCCAGCACAGCAGCTTTGCTTGTGAAGAAGCCCTGGATTCAAATCCTGGCTCATTATACACTCACTACCCTGCCCATCTGCACAGCCAGAAGGGACCTGAGGGCCCGCCCAGCCCAAAGGAGGAGAGCACTCTCCCATGTCACTAAGGACTAACGTCTGTCACTGTTTGCTTGCTACAAAAAAAACCAGACAAAGTCTGATTTTGTCTACAACGCCTCAAACTATCACAAGCGGAATAAAGAAGACCCCGGCTGCTCCTGGCAAGCACCCCCCAAGAGGGGAACAAGTAACCAAGGTGAGACATCATGGCAGAAGCAAGACAAGAGGCCATGCACAGAGACGTGACTGCAGCCAGCTCTATTTCTCACAGTCATTGAGGAAAACAAGGCCTGAAAAATGGAAACCAACCAAGAATCCAAAAGTCATCTGGACTTGGCTTTGAAACGTGGCCAATTCAGTGAACTCAACACGGCTGAAGAAGCACCAGCCGAGGAGAGAAGCTCGAGGGGAAACAAGGTCATTCACTCAAGACACAACCACCAGCAAACCATCAGGTCTCTTCAGTCTGGAAAGGTAAAGTCCCGCATCTAAGGGCAACTACGCAACCTCTGAGCCCACGGCCTCCTGCCGGCCCGGAGGAGGGGGAGTCACTGAAGGCAAGAAAAGCGGGACTCCTAATATACAGGGCAGAATAACAGCCTCTCGAGCTGGCAGGGACCCCAGAGCATCCCAGCCAAGCCACACCTGGCGCAAGAATGCTCTCAAAACCTCTCTGGTAAAAAACCTGGAAAACTTGTATGGACTGATGCTGAGTGAAGTGAGTAGAACCAGGAGGACGTCGTACACTGTAACAGCCATGTGGTGCTATGACTAACGTTGACGGACTTAGCTCTTCTCAGCAATGCAAGGATCTAAGACATTTCCAAAAGCCTCATGCTGGAAAATGCCATCCACATCCAGAGAAAGAACGATGGAGTCTGAATGCGGATCAAAGCACACTCTTTGCTCTTTTTTTCCTTCTGTTTTGTTTTGTTTCCTCTTTCTTGTGGTTCCTCCTATTGGTTCTAATTCTTCCTTACAACATGACTATTGTGAAAATATGTGTAATAGGAATGTATATGTCGAGCCTATGTCAGATTGCACGCTGTCTTGGGGAGAAAAATTTAAAACTCAAAAGCTTATGGAAATGATTGTCGATAAATTAATTAAAAAAAAAAAAAAAGAAAAAGAAACCTCTCTGGTAAATGTGCCAATGACATGGATTACAGCATCAGTGGAAGGCTCAAAGTGCCAGGTGACACCAGGCCAGAGGATGAAACGCCATGGGGAGAAGTGGCAAGTTAGATTCCCGGTATCAAAAATCAGCATCCCACGTAAGAGAGGGGGCACACGGTTTGACAGCAGGTGTGCTAGAGACAAGGACGTGGGGGGCCTAGCAGACATTGAGGTCAGCCCAAGCCAGCCTGGTGATGGGGCCACAAAAAAGGAACGTGAGCCTGGGCAGCCACGCTGGAGGCCTCCCTCCCAAGGCGCCTTGTCTGTGACTGCTTTGCACGCAGTTGTATCTGTTCTATTTGTGTCCTGCATACGCTGCTCGTAGACACTCTCATTGGCTCTGTGAGGGTAGGGCCTGCTTTGTTTCTGCCTTGGTATTCCTGTGCCAAGCACAGACAGAAAAAGCCCTCATTCCTAAGAGGGCAGCCAGCTCTCCCTGTGGGGGCAGCAGGCAGCCTGAGGGAAGCCTGTGAGCCTGCGTCTTAACCAGGCCCACCCCGGCAGCCACAAGGGCTTGGACAACCCCTCCCATCCCACCTGGGCCTGGTTCGTCTCTCTCTACGAGTTGTGCGTCGTCCTACTTGTCAAGCGTTTGGTTCTCTGTGCACAGGATACAAAAACTTCTTTGGGAAGAAAAGGTCACGGCTAAATTTCAGCTTCGCCTCCAACTGCAGCCAAGCGGATGTTCTTGGTCACAGTCCACTTCGTCTATAGAGTTTTCTCCATAACTGGGGCACTGAAGAAATGCTTGTTGACTGAGTGAGAGTGGGCCCTGAGAGCGGGATGGAGGCCGGCTTGCTGAGGCCTTCCGAGGACATCTCAGCCAGAACTGGCCACCCAGGTCTCACCAACTCTTAGGGACGGGGTTACGAGGCCGAGACCAGAGATGCACAGCCCGCCACGGAGGAAGTTCCTGGGAGAACCACCACACTTCAATCCCAGCAGCAGATGTTGTCTAACTGAGTATTTTTAACCCCCCCCCACCCCCAAGGGACTGGTGGCAGACCAGAGCACCTCAGTGGCGGAAACTTTTTTGGGTGTTTCCGGCCGGCAGAAACACCCAAAAGGAATTGTTTCAGAATCTCTATTAGGAAAAAAGGGGCTAGTGGGGTGACCATCTGACCTGTAGTGGCAGTCTGCTCGGACCCTGAGCTTCCACTCTCGCCGGACGACCCACCACTCTTCTCTCCAGTCCTCGAAGGTTTTCTGCAGGAGCCTCGTCTCATAGTGGTGCCTGAGGTAGGGGAGAAATCGCAACAGCTGAAGGCCTGCCGAGGGCAGCTTGGGGGGCAGCCTTAGTTCAAAGCCTCATGTCCCATCAGACCAGCGCACACGCACACACACAGAAGGCGGCTAACGGCCCGAGGGCTACTGGGAAGGCGAAGAGGGGATGCCTACACCACAGTGGACACCAGACTCCACACGATGGTGCCTTTGAACTGTTCTGGGGTCCTTCCCTTTTAATTTTGTGGGATGGCTTTCTGGGACGAGAAGGGAGGAGGGAAACACTGGGAAATGGTGGGGATGTAAAACAAAAGGGAGCAATAAAGATTGATATTTAAAAAATAAGAAAGGAAGTGGAGAAAGCACCAGCCCTGGAGTCAGGAGGACCTGAGTCAAATCCAGCCTCAGACACTTGACGCTTACTAGCTGTGTGACCCTGGGCAAGTCACTTAACCCCAATGCCTAGCAAAACAACACAAAACAAAAACAAAAACAAAAACAAAAAAAAAAAAAAAAGAAAGGATTTGCCCAGAGGAGAAGTGAAGGGTAAGAATTCACTTTAGAAAAGAAGTCTCTGGGCAGCTAGGTGGCGCTGTGGATACAGCATGGGCCCTGGAGTCAGGAGGACCCAGGAGCTCAAATCCAGTCTCAGACCAGACACTTGATACTTAGCAGCTGTGTGACCCTAGGCAAGTCACTTAAACCCAACTGCCTTGAAAAAAAAAAAGAAAAGAAAATGAAGGAAAAGAAGTCTCTGCTTAACAAAAGGTAACACGGAATATTCATTTAAATAGCCAGCTTCCACAAACACCTTTCCATACGTAAAAATTGTGATGTATACCCACATTTATACACAATATAATGTGTTTATGACATACAATGAGGTCTGCCATTAAATGAAAGGGGGAAAATATATGTTCCAAGAAAGAAATCAACTAGTTCTTCACTTGTAAGACGCATTCTTAACCAGGGGTTCACAGGCTCCAATGGAGCCCCATGGACAGGATACAAGGGACTCACAAATTCGGATGAGAAAGGTGGCCTACGTAACCTCTAACTCCATTTAGCATTCCTTCAACTAGGAATTTTTTAAAAAGATGATTTGGAGGGGCAGCGAACAGAGCGCAGGCCCTGGATTCAGGAGGACTGAGTTCAAATCCAGCCTCAGACACATAACACTTACTAGCTGTGTGACCCTGGGCAAGTCACTTAACCCCATCGCCTAGGCAAAAAAAAAGATGATTTGGAGCAGGGGTCCCTGGGCTCCATGAGCCTGCCAGAGGGGTCTCTGGCGCAGAAAGAGGTTAAGAACCCCTGCTCTCTAAAGACAAAACCTTGGGAAACAGCCTTGATGTGCAGGAGTGTGAGGTCAGCAGCACCATCCCCCTAAGTGCACCCACATACAGGACTCTCCATGCACAGAAGGACTCGAGAAATGCCACAATGTTGAAGGCAGGGGAGGAGGCGGCCTTTCCCCTCTCACACCAGTCAGAGGGACACAAGGAAGCGCTGCAGGGTTGAGCGCTGAGCACTCGAATGTGGGAAGCTCGCCACAACCCATGAGGCCGAGGGCGAGGCCTGCAAGGGCAAGGCAGGCAGGAGGCAGGGTACTGGGCAGCAGGGTCCCTTCACGTCTTTCTCCAGCTACACCAGTGTGAACTGAGTGCCCTGGTCTGGCCCGGCCTGGCCAGGAAAGGGCTAAGGGTCAAGGCTGGAGCAGACAGGGAGGCCAGGTAGTGCTCCCTCTGAGGCTGATCCAGGTCAAGACCAGGGAAAACAGACTTGTCTCTCTCCATCCCACAAAGCTCTGCCCCCATCAGTGTCCATTTCTTCTCTTTCTGCTCAGGTCTTCTAGTGGCCTGAAAGCACCCTTAACTCTGAGCGGGTACATACCTTGTGCTCAGAGGACAGAGGACACCACATGATGCCCGAGCCCGAGGCCGGCTCCAAGGGGAGCTCCACCAGAGCCCCGCCCCCATCAGAGAGGGCAGAACAAGCGTCCAGCTCACCATCCACCCTACCTGGCTCTCGAGGGAAGGACTCTTCCGAAGGTCTGCTGCGCCCACAAGAAGAAGAACTTTCTGGCCAGACATCTGAAAGAAGAGGGACCATGGCAGATAAAGTGGTTCTCCATCAGCCATCGGAGCCTTCCTCCTAACATTGTGATGCAAAGCCGCAGGAGGGAGATGCGCTAGTGGAATTAGGAGGTGTTGGCGTCCCAGCAAAAAGCAAGTAAGAAAACCCTCAGGATGGTCGGGGAAGTGTCACCAGGTTCGTGCAGACTCTCCCCCTGGCGTGCCAGCTTCAGCCACAGAGGGCTCAAGAGTGAAAAGAGCAGACATCCGCCTTGATGCCAGGGCCTGCCTTCCGTCTCCCCTGCCAGCCTGGGGCTCCCAGAGGAAGGGACAGCCGTCCGCCATTCCCTATACTCTCAGCACTTAGCCTAGCGCGGGGGCTGGCACACAGGTGAGTGACCCACACCTGACAACCAGCAGCAGGTGGGGGACAGCTGCAAATACCGCCCATGGAAGGCAGGCCCACCACATGATAGCACCCCACATTTGAAGTTTTTGTGCATATAACTTCTTCCCAATCTTCCTAGCCTCAATGCCCTCGTTCCCCTGGCCCCAGGGGCCTATAAATGTCTGAATTATGCAACTGGATGAAGGATGAGTCACTGGGTATCAAGCTTTCAGCTGGGGTAAAAAGGGTCAAAAATTAATCCTTCTTTAAAAACCCAGGGAAACATAGAGTCACTCGTATTAGACAGAGGCAGGCCCCTCTCACCTGTTGCGCAATTCTCTTAAGCGGCCCCCACGGTTCCAAGTGTACGAGAGCTGATCCGGAGGCTGATGCCCTTTACCTGGTGCCCGCCGCCAAGGGACGGAGGGCACTTTGCTCCTCAGGCCTTTCGGAGGCTGGTGCATCCCAGCTGTGTCTTTCTTCAAAGACCTAAGGGGGAAACATCAGCCAGCGGTGGAGGTATCACAATCACGTTTTCATCATCAGTTAGGAAAGTCACCAGAGCCCCGAGCACCAAGCGAAAGCCAGAACCTTGGGGACAGGTGTAGACAGCGCCATGGCTGCACTCCATGTACACTCTTAGAACCCCGAAGCTCTGATCAGTCAGTCTCTCCCTAATCACTGGCTCCGTCCCCATCGCCTCCAAAAGCCCGAGTCTTCTTCATCCTTCACAAGTCTCCATTTGCCTGTCCCAGCCCGAGTCATCAACCTTGACCTCTCCTGCGGTTCTCCTCTCAGCGGCCTCCACCTCCGCTCCTCTGTCTCTCCCAGCCCTCCGCTGGGCAGCTCCCACCTCTCACACAACGGAACCTGTTCTTTGCTGAGGGACCAGCAAGCTCTCCTGGCCTTCTCTGTGCCTGGCCCGCACGGCCGACTTCGCTCCCCCCGCTGCCTCTCTCCTCTGGCTTCCTGGGGCCGGGCTGCCTCCTGCTTCTCCTCCCACCTGGGTGGCCCCCCCTTCTCAGTCTCCCTTGTTGGCTCAGCATTGCCACCCAAAAAGCCCTGTCTGGGACCTCCTCACCATCTGTGCAGACTCCTCCTGGAGACAGAGATCCAGCCCCAGGCTCCCTGAGCTTCAGACCCACCTCACCAGCTGCCCGAGACATTCCAAACTACATGTCCCAGAGATCCCTCAAATGCGACATGTCCAAAAACAACTCAGCATCTTTCTCCTCACACCCACTTCTGCGCTGAACCTCCCTTTTCTATCCAAGACCCCCCCATCCTTGCAGAGCACCAGGACAGTAACATCGCATCACCTGGATTCCTCGCCCCACACCTCCAAGCCGCTGCACACCTTGCCGTTTGCACATGCCAGCATTCTGCTGGTTGGCCACCCTGCCTCCACACAGCCACCAAGGCTGCGCAGACCTGCCGCGGTCCTCCGCTACTCAATAACTCCAGTGGCTCCCTACTGCCTGGAGAAGCAAATATACTCTCCTCTCTCTGGCTTGTAAAGTCCTTCACAATCTGCCCCGCTGCTAACCTCCTTAGATAGGAGGCCCCTTCTTTTCCATATTGCACGCCTTCTTTCTTACTCCTTAGCCCATCTCCACACCTTCACGCTGGCTGTGCCCTCTGCCTGGAATGCCATCCCTTCTCCAAGAACTTCCTTGGAAGTTCCTTCAGGGTCTTCCACGTTTAAGCTCCACCTTTGACAAAATCTTTCCTGATCCCCCTCAAACCCTAAATGCCTCTGACTCTAAATTTGTTTCTAACTATCTCTTCCTAGTGACCTTCTATTAAATTATTTTCATTTAATTCTGTACATATGCAAGTAATTATATGAATACAGGTACATATATACACGTATTTATATACACAAATATATGTATGTGTATATAGGTACATATATACACACATGCATGTGTATATATGTACACATATGGTGTATGTGTTTACATATGTACACGTATACATACATGGGTGAATGTGCGCATACATGCATATGTTTATATGTACATGTATACGTGTGTATATGCATATATGTGTATATGTGTGTATGTGTTTATATATATGTATAAATACGTGTGTGTATGTGTGTAAAATAGTATTTTTTTCTCTGATAGAAAATGAGCTCCTTGGGAGCAGGAACCATTCCATTCTCTGTATTTCTATCTTCAGCCCCCAGCCCACTGCCTTACACACAGCAGGCGCTTACTAAATGCTTGCTGGTCTACAAAAATACTGAGTGAGTGCCCTAAGCAGTGCTACTACCAGACAGTGGCAAAGACAGGACCAAGCCCCAGGCCTCCTGCCCCCAGCCCAGGGCTCCTCGATCACCAGGCCCGGCTTCATGACTGAACCACCCGCCATGATCTGTGGGCTGGGAATGCAAGCTCAAGTGTTTGTCTACTCCCACCCCTTCCTCTGACCTTTTGGCAAACCTTCAAAAGAGCTCGTTTACTGGTATGGACGTATCCCCAGCCTCGCCCCCTGCTCCATGCCCCGTTCCAGAAATACCAAGAATCTTATTTTCTTAGTGTCTTTGTCCTAAGCCTTGGTCTCACCTTTACACATCGTCCTCCCCAAAGGCCTCACCGGGCCTAATTGAGGAAGGAATCCTCGCTCACACTGAATGATCGGACTAAGGGAAAGATGCCTTTGATTGATTCAGTTAGTAGAAGCATCCCATGACTTCCTCCTGGAGGAGGCTGGTGAAAAGAAGGAATGAGGCATTATAGGAAAATGATTCCCCAGAATGTCCCTACAATTCAGTTAGCATTGTTTCTGTTTGATGAACCAAATACTGTTTCTTCCTGGACTTTGTACTCTGGCTTGATGTTGAGTGTGGAATTTTGTCTTTTGTTTAGGAATCCTATCAGTTGAGAGTAGAAATGGGCTCGTGGCAGAGAGGTTTTCAAAGGCAGGATAGAGCCTGTCCCTTTGGATTTCTCTCTCCCTAAGAAGACCTAGGAGTCCAGGAGGCAGCTCAATGGGAAGAATGCTGGGCCTGGAGTCACAAAGACCTGAATTCAAATCTAGCCTCAAACACTTATTATTGTATGCCCCTGGGCAAGTCACTTCACCCTGTTTGCCTCAGTTTCATCATCTGTAAAATGAGCTGGAGAAGGAAATTACAAACCACTTCAGTATCTCTGCCATGAAGACCCCAAATGGGATCACAGAGAATTGGACACAACTGATAAACAACTGAATAACAACAACAAAGACCCCCAGATCTTTTTCACACAAATGGTTCTCTTGGCTGGACACGACCGGACAACAAAGAAGACCCACATTTGGGTCTAAATTTATCTCTGGCAAAACTGCTCCCAAAACACAGAGTACTACGTTTGGGAGTCACGTTAGTCAACTGCTGAATTTAGTAGATTTTTAGCAAAGTATTCACAAGTTGTTTATGTTATCTTGTGGAGAAGATGACAAGTGGGCTAAGCCAGAGCATACACAATAAGGGAGCTCCAGAACTGGTCGAGAAGCTGGACTTCAAGAGCACGCGTTAATAATCCAACACCAGCCTGAAAGGAGGTCTCCAGCAGGGTGCCCCAGGGATCTGCTCCAATTTTAAGAAGACTCTGCCCACTCATCAGTCTGTGAACGACCCCAAGCTAAGAAGCACAGCTAACGTGGTGGACGAGTCAGGCTGCAAAAAGCTTTCAAAATGCTACAATAAATCAAATTTAATCAGCACAAACATAAAGTCTTAAATTGGGGTTGGGTTCAAAAAGCCGGCTTCATGAGATTGGGGAGCCCCAGCTCAAGAACGGAGGGCATAGGGCCAGAGTTGGAGCCCACCGAGGTGACTGAAGTGGGGTTCTTTGTTTCGCCAGGGTAGGCTTGGCTCAGGGACACTTTTAATCCCAACAGCCTTGGCAGCTAACGTCAGAGCAGGCCTGGTGAGAGGCCCAATGGCCAGCAGCAGCCATGGCCAATGAGCAGAGCCAGCCACCAGAAAACTCTTCTTTACCAAGCCCGGTCAAAAGGCCAGGACTGAGCCTTAAACCACACTGAACCTTTCCATGACCTCAGGGTGACTCTGAGCTTTATCAGGTTCAAGGTGTTCCTTACAATTCTAATGACCATGAAGCCCAATCAAAGCCTTGCCTGTCCATAGTCCTTATCCTGTGCTTGGCCTCTCCACGAGTCTGAACTGAATATGATTTCGACCTAAGGTTCAATGAGCTTAACTGTCAAGGCCTTCGTCTTACCTGGCCTTGGCCTTGATCCCCAGGGTCACTTTGGTTCCTCTTGGGCCGAAATCCAAATCACCCTCCACCTTAGCATCTGCCCCCAGAGAGCTCACCACGGGGTTGGTTCGTGACATCTTTTAGCTGTGTGAGAGACCTGCAGAAAGAAAGGACAGGGGTCATCTCTGGCCTCTCCGGGCCTCTCTGGACAACACATTCTCAGGTCCCCACTGCAGAGGACACACTAGATATTGCTGATGAATTATCTTATTCTAGGCTGTTTGAAATTCCAAGCCCTTGAACGGAGGCCCGGTTAGCATTTGCTTAGACACAAATGATTGCATACACAACTAGACAAGTGATGGAAGGGGGAGCGTGGATCACTAAAAACCAACGGACATTGTTGAAAAAAGAGGAACAAGCTGATGCAACCCCACACAATTCTGCAGGGGAGGCAAAACAGCAGAGACCCTGGGAGGGAGGGGATGATTTCCAAATAAGGCCATCCTCCTCATTAACTAAACTCCCAAAGAAGGACCCCCAAGACAAGGGTTATGACCTGTGATGTCATCTCTCCCTCAGTTTCCTCCTCTGTGAAATGGGCTAATAACAGCACCTACCTGCTAGAGTGGTCTGAGCTGATCAAATGGGTGAAAATTCATGAAGTATTTTGCCACCTTTAAGGCGCTATGTAAATGTCCATCCCCTTTATTTTACAGATGGGTAAACTGAGGCACCAAACAGTGGAGTGACTCGCCCAGGGTCACACAGGTAGTTAATAAGTCCTAGAGGCAGGATCTGAACCCAGGACTCCAGCCTCCAGGCAAACTCTAAAACGCCAGGCTGCCTTTTCTGTATAGACCATCCACATAAGCTGTCATTTAAGAGGTCTACGGCAGAAGTGACTTGCCTACACGCCTACAGGGAGCACTCGCCAGGGCCTGGATTCCAACCCGTTCGGTGCCCCACCCCCGAAGCTTGCCACTCTTTTGCCAACTGGACAAACAAATCAATCGAGGTCCAGAGAGGACAAGGGACCAGCCCCGATCACCCAGCGAGCGGGGTAGACCCAGGGCGCAGGCGCCAGGCCCGCGCAGGCGCAGACGGCTCCCTCCCTAGGCGCCGATCTGAGGGTGGGGTTCTTTGATGGGGAGTCTCCCTCCTCTCCTACCCTGGGCTAGGGGTTGGGGGCTGGGGCTGAGGCCGACGCTGGGCGCGCTGTCCTCCAGCCGAAAAGACCGGGAGGGCTGCCGCTGCGGGGACGAGGTGTCTGAGGCCGGGCCTGGAGCCAGCCCTGAGGTGACGGACGCAAGGAGGGAGAGACGAGGGAGTCGCCCTGGCCCCGCGAGGACTCCAGCTCCCCTCCTCGCGCCGACTTCCCGCGCCTTCCGCAGGCTCCGCCCCCGTCGCCTTGGAGACGCGAGGACGCCCGGGAAAAGCTGAGGGGAAGTAGCGGCGGGTTACGTCTGCGCAGCCGTAGTCCCTCCGTTCCTCATCTCGCGCTCTCCCCTCCCCAGTCTTGAAGTGCCCAACTTCGCGCCGTACAAAAAAAAAAAAAAAATTATCTATACAAAAGCTGAACTATTGAAATACCCTTCTTTTACGGGCCTTCAGGGTCCTTTGTGGCTCTGAGAGGTCGGTGAGCGTGGAGTGTGACAAATACTTTCAGGCACCCCGGGGGCAGCCCCATGGGGAGGACCTTCTAACCAGAGCCCTGTAAACATAACATAGGGCCCTGCGAGGATCGGGACCAACGAGACGAGCCCAGGCAGCAGGCTAGAGCGACCCTCGCGTCCCGGAACCATAGAGATGAGCGGCTCCGGCCACGCTGGGAGCCAAGCGCCGGCTCTGCGCTCTCTGTGGTCGCGGAGGAATCTGGGCTCCTGGAGCTGGTCATTGCCTCGTGTATGCGTTTTGGAAAGCGTGCAGCAACCCCTTTGATTCTTTGGGCTCGCCGGAGAGGCACTTTGTGGAAGGTGGAAAAACTCACAAATAAGAGATTTATTAAAAAGATCTGGGTTCGAATTCTACTCAGCTACTTCCTTCCTGTGTGCCTGTGGGCAAGTCACTAACTCTCTCCGAGCCTAAATTCAGAGCAGAGAATTCAGAGGCTTCCTCCTAGGGGAAATTGAACCCTGTGGCTCCCTTATCCTCACTAATACATTTGTTCATTTAAGTTCAACAGACATTTATTAAGCATCTACTGTGTCCAGCCCTGTGCTAGACCCAGAACTGTGTTTTCCTAGGTATACGGAATTCTCAATGAAGAAACTCCCTCTGCTAATGTAGATTGGCACTTCTGCATTTCCTAGTCTTCTTGAGTTGCCTGAGAATGTTAAGGGGGGGAAATATGAAAGTCCCTGCCCTCAGGGAGCTTACATTCTACCAGGGGAAAATATGTACATATGTGAGTATATGCAAAAGAAATGGGGGTGGGGTGGGGGTGATCCTGCCATTTTAGAATATCTGGGTCTCCTTGTCTCTCCCAGGCTGGCAGTGCAGGGGCCAGTCAAGGGCTTGATCCCAATTCTGGTCAGCTCAGACTTGGGCCTGTTCTGTTTTTCCATCCTGGGGTTTGCCCCTCGGTAGACAGCATGGTGGTCCCCCTGCTCCTGGGGGCTCATATTGGTGCTGGATTTAGTAAGGACACCTGATCCACTTAGCCCACAGCAGCTGACAATTCCCAAGCTCAAGGGATCCACCTTTCTCTCAGCTGTACCCCAAAAGTTATTGGGCTGTCTTTTGTCTCTTTTTTGAAGCCCCTGCATTCAGCACTGTGCCTGGCGTGGTAGGTGCTTAATAAATTGATCACAAAAATATTATAACAGCTCTACTCATGGAGCTGTCCTTAGGGGAACCGCTAAACAAATTGTGGTATAGGAATGCGGTGGACTGTTGTTGGACCATAAGAAATGATGAAATGGATGATTTCAGAAGCTGGGAAGACCTTTTTCTTTTTACTTTTTAAAAAAATTTATTTACCATTATATTTTTCTTTTTTCAAAATTAATTTATTTTGAGCTTTTGAGTTTTTAATTTTTCTCCCCCTCCCTCCCCAAGACGGTGTGCAATCTGATATAGGCAATAGTAGTATATTTTTCCCCAGTTACATGTAAAAACAATTATTAATATTTGTTTTTTAAAACTTTGAATTCCAAATTCTCTCGCTTCCTTCCTCCCTCTGTACCCCACCCCCATTGAGAAGGCAAGCAATTCTATATAGGTTATACATGTGTAGTCATGCAAAACACTTGCATAATAGTCATGTTGTGAAAAAAACACAAACCAAAAAAAAAAAAAACCAACCTTCAAGAAAAATAAAGAAAGTTTAAAAAGTCTGCTTCAATCAGTATTCAGACACCATCAGTTCCTTCTCTGGCAATGGAGAGCATTTTTCATCATCACGCTTTCAGAGTTGTCTTGGATCATTGTATTGCTGAGAACGGCTAAGTCATTCACTGCTGATCATCTCACAATATTGCTGTTACTTTGCACACAGTACATTTCACTTTGCATCATCAGCCCATGCAAGTCATCATTTCTTATAGCACAATAGTATTCCATCATAATCACATACCACAATTTGTTCAGCCATTCCCCAATTGATGGGCACCCCTTCAATTTCCGTTTCTTTGCCACCAGAAAAGAACTGCTATAAATATTTTTGTACATATAGGTCCTTTTCCTTTTTTTTTTTAATCTCTTTTGGGATACAGACCTAGTAGTGGTAGTGCTAGGTCAAAGGGTATGTATGGTTTTGTAGCCCTTTGGGCATAGTTCCAAATTGCTCTATAGAATGGTTGAATCAGTTCACAACTCTACCAACAGTGCATTAATGTCGCATTTTTCCCACATCCCCTCCAACATTTGTCATTTACCTTTTCTGTCCTATTAGCCATTCTAATAGGTATAAGGTAGTACTTCAGAATTATTTTAATTTGTATCTCTCCAATCAATACTGGGTTAGAGCATTTTTTTTTCACATGGCTATAGAAAGCTTTGATTACTTCATCTGAAAATTGTTCATATCTTTTAATCATTTATCAATCAAGGAATGGCTCTTACTTTTATAAATTTGACTCAGTTCTCTATATGTTTGAGAAATGAGGCCTTTCTCTGAGAAATTTGCTTCAAAATTTTTTTCACAGTTATTATTGCTACCTGTATTTCCCTTCAGCCTATTTCCTTCCTCACCCCACCCCATTTATTCTATTCTCTCTCTCCTTTCACTCTGTCACTCCTCAAAAGTGTTTTGCTTCTGACTACTCCCTCCCCCAATTTGTCCTCCCCTCTATCAACCCCCCTCTTTCTCTTATCTTCTTGCCGTCCTACTTTCCTGTAGGGTAAGATAGAGTTCTATACCCAATTGAGTGTATATGTTATTCACTCTTTGAGCCAATTCTGATGTGAGTAAGGGCACTCACTCCCCCTCACCTCCCCCTTCTTCCCCTCCACTATAAAAGCTTTTCCTTGCCTCTTTTATGTGAGATAATTTACCCCATTTTACCTTTCCCTTTCTCCTAGTACATTTCTCTCTCACCTCTTAATTTTATTTTTAGATATCATCCCTTCATATTCAACTCACACCTGTGCCCTCTGTCTATATATACTCCTTCTATCTGTCCTAATAATGAGAAAATTCTTAAGAGTAACAGGTATCTTCCCATGTAAGAATATAAACAGTTTAGCCTTGTTAAATCCCTTATGATTTCCCTTTCTTGTTTACCTTTTTATGCTTCTTTTGAGTCTTGTATTTGAAAGTCAAATGTTCTATTCAGCTCTGGTTTTTTCATCAAGACTTCTTGATGGGACATGTTATCTTCTTCAGGGACAAGTTTGCATAATTACATGCTTTTCAGGCTTTGTTTCTTTGTTGCTTTTTTTTCCATTCATCTTTTCAGTTATTGGTTTCATTTAATTCTCTATACATCAGTTCATGTCCTCATGTTTCTCTTAAAACTTCATATACTTCATAATTTCCTAAGGTATAATAATAATTCCATTATATTTATGTAAAATAGTTTGGTTAGCTATTCTAAAAACAATTACATCTATTTTATTTCCACTTCTTTGCTATAATAAAAATTGTGACTATGTGTAAAAAAAAATGCTTGATGGGAGAGGAACCAAGACGAAGGAGTAAAAACAGTGACTTGTTTAAGCTCTCCCCCAAACCCCTCCAAATACCTGTAAAAATTGGTTCTAAACAAATTTTAGAGCTACAGAACCCACAAAAAGACAGAGTGAAACAAATTTCCAGCCCAAGATAACCTGGATGGTTGATGGGAATGGTGTGTTTTGCCAGGCTGGGAGAGGAGCACAGTTTAGTGTGGGTCACACAGGCAAAGATGGCACCCTAGGAAACTTGGAGCAGTCCTTAGGGGACTGAATCAGTGGCAGCTGTGGCAGTTTCCAGACTTCTCAACCCACAAACACCAAAGACAGTTTAGAAGGTCAGTGGGAAAGGTCTATCCGACATGGGTGGAAGAGGAGCCCAGTTCAGCCCTGGCCCTGGCACAGCCACAGGGCTACCATAGCAGCTGCTTCCAGAGCTCTCAGCCCACAGACAGTGGCACGATCGAGCAGCTGATGAGAGGGGGACTGCAGGGATCTCTTTGCTGGTGCTGAGGCAGAACTCTGTTGCTTTGCCTGTGCTTGGATCCGGGTCACAGTTCTGGGTGGTGGTCCTGGGGAGAAGAGGAGCGCTGGCATGGTAGAGCTTGTGGTAGCGGTGGAGAGGGAATCCTCCTCACAGTTCCAAGGCAGAAAAGAGTGCTTGTGGTCACTCACAGACCACAGTACAGGCCAGGAAAGGAGTCAACACCTCGCCCTTGATCATACCACCTCGGAAGACCTGAAAATTTACAGGTCCCTAGAAGTATCTCTGAAAGCAGCTGCACAAAACCCCTGAAGCTTGGGACAGTGCACCCTCCACACTGGAAGCAGACCCCTACCTTAACAAAGAGTTTAAAGCTCAAGTAATTGGCTAGGATCATGAGCAAACATCGCAAAAAGAATCAGACCACAGAATCTTACTTTGGTGACAAAGAAGATCAAAAC